TCCAGTTGTAGGTTTTGACACAGTTCAAGTGGAATTTCTTGTGGGAGCTTGTTTCGCGATTTCTTTTTATCAGATCAGACTTGACTCGCTCTGCAGCCATAAAGTTTTAAGAGGCTGTTGAAAGGCTTTTCCTTTGCGTGTTTGATGACTGACAGTAAAAACACTTGAAACAACAAAACAGGCAGGTATCACTCCGCTGCTCAGGCTCATCCAGCTGCAAGCAGCTCAGATATCTTCATCGACACTTACTCCGCGCAGACAGACTTGGGATCATTTAAAATCGAGCAGCAACCTGGCCCATTAGCGAGGGGAAAAAACATGTCAAAACATGACTATTATCCAACTCCTCTCAGGGGTTGCCATGCTCCTGTCATTGTAATGAGGTGAAAACAAACAGTAACTGTATCCCTGAGTGTATCTTGTGTGTATCCTCTGTGCTCTACTGTCTGGTATCAATGGCAGTCACTTAGAGAGTGTGAGTCAGTGTGTTTACAGTTTTCACAGATGGAGCTTTGACACTGTCTGGATAACTGAGACAAATGGCTCTTACTACAGCTCAGCAGATGGGAAAAGCAACAGTCTGTAACTCACACTATGTACACACACACAAATGCACCAAGATATACAGAGTGTGCTCACACATTCATGGAAACTGAAGCAAAACATACTGTACGCACACAGTGGAATGAGAAGAAGTTAAAGGATCATCTTAAAAACCAGCTAATTTCTCTTTGGCCCTGAGTGGGGAGAATGTCAGCTCCCGACTGCTTCAGTTTGGCCGGTGATTCAAGCCAATCTAGGACGAAGTCATACGTGATCAATTACAAACGGCAGTCAGTTTCGGGAGGCTTGACATAATGTAAACAACAGAAGACAAAGTGAACCCCGGGTTGTTGTCTTCCCACGTGTAATGAATGTGAAATCAAAGTACAGTCCCATCAGTTATAATTCTTGAAAGGTGTTTTGTTGATGAATTTTTCAATCCATCGAGTTGTGCATACTTGGCAAACAAAGGTAGATGCGGTTTATTGGAGGCTACTGCACAACAGGTGGGCTACAGTCTGCCACTGCGGCCTGCTGCCTTGTCCACTTCAGTGCCCATAATACTCCTGACAAATACTGCCCCCATGTGGACAAAACCCATCTGAACGAAGGGCACTCAGACCTCAGCCCCTCACCAACTGTCCTGTAAACAGATCCAGCTTCAGTGCGAGCCTGATTAGACATAAAGCAAAAGATAAACTGCCATTGTTCCCATGCAGCGCTCTGATGAACATAAAAAAACACACAATTCGTTCTGTCAGGGAGCAAAAAGCAAAAAGGTGACACATACAGTTCACCCGCTGTTGCCGGCTGATATTGTTACATCAGCAGCAGCTCATGATTGTCAGGTAATTTTCGGCTTTGTGAGACACGAGTGGGTATTTCTACTCAGCAGGCCTTTCCACTTAATTGTCCCTCTAAGTCATAACAGCCCGTTTGCTCTTCTCTGCATGAATCACAAAGCTGTTTTTCCAACCATGACGGTCTTACATGCTCGCAGCAGAAAAGTTATGTTATTTGCTCTGATGTTGAACTTTTACATGACTTCTTACAACTACCAGGTCATAGCATTATGGCCTCATGTAATGTTTTCCTTTTTTTTCAGTAAATACACTTTGACATGCAAAGGCTGCCAGGAAATAAAGAAAATCAACAAAACATCTTTTTACATTTTTTAAAAAAGTGGATCTTTCCTCTTTGTTTTCTTATTTAGGACCAAACAACTTCATTTGTGTCGAAAATTAGTGGGACAGCTGACAACCCTTTGCACAATTTTGTTTTGTTTGTAGGAGTACAGCTACGAATCCAAAAGAACGAGGTTGGCAGTACAACAAACACTGTGACATCTCTCAGGCGTATCTTTTTTTTTAATCCCAGAAGGAAAGCTGTGCGTAGAGCAAATGCAAAAGATATTCAACAGTGGGGGAAGATGATTAATTTTTAAGCAGGAACTTTCTTTAACCTGCCACAGTGCCTACAGCTTTCACTATAAAGGCATCCTTTTTTCATTAAAACGCAGGAATATTGGATCTCTGTGACAGTGTAAATCTATAAGCCAAATTAATAAAGTCTTCAAAAGAGTGTGAGGGATCCTCAACCTCCCCATGGACAAAGTGAGGGAAAATCTATGCTTCAAAATTCTAGTGGCTGTTTCTAGCTCACTGTATGTTCACAAAATCACACATGAAGAGTCATATCAATTAAGCCATGATGTCAGCCTACCATCACAGGAAGAGGATTTATTCTAAAAGCGACTGACTAATCAGGGTCAGGGTGATTTACAGAAGCTGCTCAGTGTTTTCATCTTCAGTAGACTTGGATGCTGTAATACTGCATTGACTGGTGCGCCTAAAAGATCGATCAGACGGCTGCAGCAGAGGCAGAAAGCTGCTGCTCCAGTCCTCTCCATGAGCTGGAAAGTGGATCATATCATTTAAGTCCTGCAGGTCTCTGTTCTGGCTTCACCATCCTCACAGAATTTTAAAACAGCAGTGTTGATCTAGAAAACTTTAAAAGGCTTGGAGCCCAAATACACGTCACTCCTGGTACATTACAAACCTTCATTTCTTCTCTAGTTTCAAAGGAGATGTTTGCTCTCCGTCCCTGGAGATAAGACTTAATAAGGGCAGATGTGCAAAAAAGAATTCCCTGATAACGGCACCGACCACAGCTCTTGTTAAACCAAACTTCAATACTTTTCAGTTTCCTACTGCATTTGAATAATTGATTTGATTTAATTGTATGTGTTTAAGAACTTTTCCCTACATATTAATCTTAAAAGGAAGTTTATAATGCTCTCTTACATCTGTGCAAAGCACTTTTGGCCTCATCGGGGAACACAGCTGAAGCAGTGAAGCTGACATGCATTCTGAATTACTGTGATTTTTAACTGTTCGATTCCCATGTCACATGTACACCTCAAATTTCAGGACTTCACGAGAAAAAAGGAAAATCTGAGATGGTTTTCTGGTTACCACAACAAATTCAGCCGCTTGTAGACTGCCTCCAGTGACTACACTTCATCCAAAACTCCAAAGGAGGCTTCCGCTTCAGTTATCCCCTCACACTGCCTTTACTTCAACTCCAATGATCGAAATAAGAAACTTAGTCATTTAAAATAAAGCTGGTCATAGATTTAACTTGATTTAACCCCTTAAGTTGCCAGCAAGCTGTGACAACTCCATCTAATGACCTCTCTAAACTTTCAACAAACGGGGCACAGCTTGTGATGCAGTCATATTTTCTGGTTCTAAGACAGCATGAGACACCAGCACACACCCTTATCAAAACACACTTGAAATATAATTTATTGCACATTTAAAGATCAACATAAAGTGGCACAATACTTATCTCAATCCTGTTACATCATAACACAAACTGAAAGACAAAACAAGTCCTTACAAAATGCTCACACCTTGTTTGTGATGATTTTTTTTCTCTTACTTTAGATCAAAATGGCCATAAGGTTGCAGGAATGCAAGATTGGAACTGCATAGATTTAGACACAAAGGAACTAAAAGAGAAAAAAAAGTAGAATGAGACACTTCTTTAATATGTCACATGAAATCTGATCTGACCTCAGCATGGCTCAAGCTTGTCACGAGCCTGCTGACTTCAGTTGTTCTCATGAGTTACAGGCAGCTCAGTGTGTCACCTCTATCGGGGCATTTCCCAATCTAAAAGAAGACTCAATGGATGGGGGAAAAAAAATAAAGTTCCTGTAAAATATACACATTTATCTCGAGCCCAATTCTGAATTGTCTTCTGCAGATATAGACGTTTCAAACATCATGATTTTATATAAAGTCGAAAACTAATAAGAACTCCTTAAAATATTCCTTAAGCCCTGTTTACAGTAGCATATTCTTAATTTAACATTTAGGGAGCAGGCGTGTCACTGTAAAAACCTCAACAAGGAGGTGTCATTAAATCAAAACTGTACAAAAAATGAAAACATGATCGTCACAGTCATTTGTTTAAGATACTATTTACATCTTTGACCACATTTGTCATGTCACACTCCAACATCACAACCCAGACAGCCTCTTTGTTATGGTTTTAGTCATGTTTAATTAAAATTAGCCATTAATTTTTTCCTTTAAATATTTGGGGGCATGGATTACCTTTTCGTTATCTTATTGCTGTGTGGCTCGTGTTTTGATTTCTATTTCCTAAACCTTTCTAAACCTAGCTCTGATTGTGTTGACTACATCATAAACCAAACCATTGTGAGATGCGTGATCCTCATCGTAAATACCTGCCCAATAAAAGTGGCAGAGATGGTACAAAAACCGACCCTAAAGAGCTACAGTATGTACAGTATGGCAATGAGTACAATATAGAATAATAATTAAAAAAAGAAGCTAGAATTCAATGGCATCAGTGTTCAGAAGTCTATGTATGATCCCTGTGCCTCATCTGAACCTTGAGTGAACACACACAATTTGATACACGTTACAGCATAAATGTAAAAAGTATCAGCTAAATGGTTGAGAGAAGAATGGCGAAAAAGCATGCAAACTGGCTTGGAAAACAAAAATAAACTGTTATAGTGAAGTCAGACACAGTTTCATTAGGGTTACCTGATTAGAGAATTACAGTTTCAATAGGACTGCCTGGTTGCATATTCTTATTTCATGTGTTAATGAAAACTATCTGCATCCTACGCAACAGTGGAAGAGTTTTCTGTCCGGGTTCTTAATTGATAATCCCTTTGCTGGACATTAAATAAAATACTATATACATGGACAGTAGTAATGAAATTTGTTTTGTTTGGCACTGTTTGTTTGTTTTGGCATAAACAAGAGGCTTTTTCGGGATATTTGCCAGTAATTTCATTGGCTTAGCATACATACCAACTTCTTAGTGGGTCACATAAATGTTTGATGAATGTTATACCCCATTTATGCTTCGGAGAAACTGAAATGAATTGTATCTGCCCTTTAGTGCCACCACAACAGTGCTGATCATCTTCAAAGCAACTATTAACTTAAGAGAAATCAAACCTAATCAAAACAACAAGCATTCAGACGCTACCTACAACAAAATTGTTTTAATTGTTGGATGCAGCATGGTTAAACAAGAGAGAAAGGCCTCAAATGTTAGTTGAAAATACCCAACTTTCAGTGTTACAGAACCCGTTTACATTTACCCTGGCACTACCATGATAGCTATTTTAACAACCTTGTAAACAGAAAAAAAAACACACACACACAAAGCAATCATAAAAAACAATGAAGTATAATCAAAACCTTTCCATTTGCCACTGAAAAATAAAACTTAAACCAAAGGTCATATTGTCCGCGGAAAGATGAAGAGGCAAAATATAGTTGTTTGGAGACTGAATAAGCAGCACTTGAGAAAACTGCAGAGATACTGAAAGTTGGACAGAGAATGAGGAAGTGAAGCAAAGCTGAGAGGAAGGACATGAAGGGAGACAGACTTTCCTTTGGCACCTGAGCCACAGTGGCAGTGTGCGTTTGTGGGCGGAAAAGGTACCAATACAGAGGAGGGACAAAGTGGGAGTCACCAAACAGCTCATGCCCAACAGAAATATTCTCCCCTGACCACATCTCCATCAAAGGAGCTCAATTCTTTAAAACCTTCACTCTGCATGTAGATCCTGATTTGGTTCCTCCCACATCAGTTGCACCTCCCGACAACATTTACCCACAAGTTGAGTTACTTTAGTCAAATCGGAGCCGGTCAGCAAAAGTTCCCCTCTCAGAGCTCTGAACCTGCCCTGGGAGAACAGAGGTGAGTGATTGCAGAATGGAGGTTCTCCAGGTTCTTCAGTTCCAGTTCCTGTTTGAGAAATGAGGGGACCTCAGCAGGTTTTTGTTTCAGTTTTGCTTCCGCCACAGAAGTTCCTCACGGGTGAGTTTCACAGGCTCAGATCCTCCAACGGGCGCTCGGCTGAGGTCAGTTAGTGCAGGTCATTCAGTGCCGAGGCCCTCTCCTCCTCCCCATCACGCTCGGTTCAGTGTGGTTCTATAGGTTCTCCCCGGGCTGATATTGGGGTTCTGTGGAGGTGAAGTAGTCCTCTAGGAAGCCCTGTAGGTACTCAAATGTAGGCCTCTCTTCTGGATCCTTCCTCCAGCAGGAAAGCATGAGCTCATGCAAAGAACTGGGACACTCTGCTGGGCAGGGCATCCTGTAGCCACGCTCCACCTGGTCCAGCACCTCACGATTAACCATACCTGCCCAGAAGAACAGGGGGTCAGATTTAAGGAAAAATAAACACCCTCTTTCGTTCACAGTAAGTGCAACGGGTTTGACCGGTGTATTTTCACAGCGGATGGTTGTGAGAGATGTTTCTAAAAATATACTTTATTGAATTGTGTCTTGTATTGATTTTTGCATGGCAAATAAACCGTTTAGACAACAGTGAGGAATGGCCATGACAGCATGCTGCAGAACTGTACTACACAAGGTACAACCCTCATGTAAAGGGAAGCAGAGTAAGGTTTCAAGCTCTTTGACTAATCTGTGTTTTTTTTTTCCTCATCAGACTAATTTCGTTGTGTTTAAATCAGACATTTGTATTGTTAAGTGGAGCATTTACCTGGATAAGGTACTCTGCCTTTAGTTGCCAGCTCTGTAAGCAGCACGCCAAAGGACCAAACATCTGACTTTATAGTAAAGCGACCGTACAGTGCCGCCTCCGGCGCCGTCCATTTGATTGGGAACTTGGCTCCTGACATCGAGAATCAAAAAAAGGTTATCATTTTTGGACCCCATTCATAGCCAAAGCTTTCAGCTTTCTTTGTGGCTCACAACAGAGCTGCTGTTGCTTCATGGTGTGTGCTGGATGAAGGCTCACCCTGTCGTGCAGTGTACTCATTGTCTTCAATCAGTCTTGCCAGACCAAAGTCAGCCACCTTACACACCAGGCTGTCTCCTACCAGGATGTTGGCAGCACGCAGATCTCTGTGGACATAGTTCATCCTCTCCACATAAGCCATGCCGGCTGCAATCTGGTCGGAAGCAGAACAACGTTTGTACGGTTTTAATATGACATCAAAATGGACAAGAGCCTGGACAACAACACAACAAACCTTAATGCATTTCTAGTAGTTTACCTGAGCAGACATGTCTACCAGCTGTGGCAGACGAAGCATCTTCCCTGCATCCCCTTTAAGGAAATCCAGCAAGCTACCTGAGTGCCGATCACAAAAACCCCATTTAGAAAGGTGGAGCAAGCACTGTCAATCCCACATTCAGTGAGAGTAGGCTTCACAGTGAAATACGGCTGATCGTGAGTAATAATCACCATAATAAATCTGCCCGATATTGAAGCTTTTATAAGCAGCCATAATTACATCTTCTATTACCTTGGCTCATGTACTCTGTGACAATGTAGATGGGCTCTTCGGACACAACAGCGTAAAGCTGGACCAGCTTCTCGTGCCTCAGCTTCTTCATGACCTGTGCTTCTTGAAGAAAGGCTTCTGGAGACATCGTACCTGGCTTTAGGGTCTTAATGGCTACCCGTGTCGTGCCATTCCACGTGCCTGTCGTGATCCAGACACAAAAAGATCGTAAAAAAAAAAAAAACATTGACTTCAGTTGAAAGTACCAGCTGAATTAATGCTGCTTCTTGGTTACTCCGCATCAATCCGATGATGTGTGAAGAACCCTTACCCATCCAGACTTCTCCGAAGCAGCCCTGTCCCAGTTTAAGGTCCAAGTGAAGCGACTCTCGAGGAATCTCCCAAGCGTCTCTGGCTAGTCCCTGCGTCTGAGGTTTGGACACTGGACACACGTCTGTTAGAGCATGACACAGCCCATCAGAGTGCTCTGAAAAACAAAACGGAAAGTGAGAAGGCAGGCTACGGCCAGAAGTGTTACCTGTCAGCCCTGTTTAAGTACTCACTGCGGTAGTGGAGGACTAGCTGCTGTAGGCTGGTGAACTGGGTGCGGGAAGTGATGTAGAAACCGCCACTGTCCAGCTTCCTGATCTTGTAATGCTTAACATTCAGGCCTTTGGTGTTATCATAATCCAGCACCGACAGGCAATATGCCCCTGTGAGCAAGAGAACACGACAGACAGAGACGGGTTAGGACGATGAAACCAGACGGCTCAGAGCCCCCAGTGACAAGTGCTGTGTGCAGCTGTGCTTCAACCACCTCACCTCATGTCCAAGGCCCACTTCTGTTTATGGTTACATTTTCTATCAACTAGTTTTACAAGACAGCATTTAAGAAAAATCACCATCAAGAAATATAACAAGAAAAGGTTTTCCTCATGTGGAGGGGTAAAAGAAAGAATAAAAAGATGGATAAAACAGAATACAAAACGCTTCTTCATTAACATGAGTGCAAGAAACATTAAAAGCCAAGTAAAAGCCCCATAAAGTCAAATATATTGACGTCTCATACTGCTTACCCAGTGTCTCCTACACTAAAAAAATATAGAACAGGAAGAACCGAAGCTCCTTTCCAAAGTACTGAGAGAATTTGTCCATCTCTTATCATGGCTGCCACTCAGATCTTTACAGGTCATTTCACTCAGTAAATAAGCAGAAAAAGAACGAAAAAAGTCATTTGATGGCTTCCTAGGTTGAGTCAGCCAATCTGTTTCTGCTCTTCAAACCATCATTTCCTCCCCAGCAACAAGGATCCTCATCATTCAACAAACTTCAGCAGAGAAAACTGGTGAAAAGGTTTGTGCTAAATTACACTTATCTAAAGTATCATAGACTTATCAATAGTGTATGATCTGCTATAGTCCTAAGTTTAAGAGTAATTTACAACTCTTAGAAAATATAGCCTCAAACTGTTGCAAATCCAATGTAAATCAATAGAAACCCAAAACGGGTAAAGCATCAAAAGAACTTAGAAATAACACAAATATGATAGAAATCTTCAAAAGACCAAAAAGTCTAAACTCTGCAAAAGGACATTCTATTGTGAATCCATCGTCTTCGATCTAGAGGTCTAAGAGGCTCTACTTTCCTTGTCAAAAAGAAAATCTGGGGCAGGAAAGACACACTTCCCAAACTATACTGGCCACAACTATCAGCATTATCAGTGCAGCCCCTCTCCGTGAGCTTAACCCTCCGTGTTCCACTGCAAAGCTTTACTGTTTAGCTCAGCTCCCTCCGGGGATTATCTATGAAGGCCTTCGCACTCCGCATGAACCGCTGCAATATTTCTGCTGCCTTACACCATTTTCCTGGTAATGTGAGAAGGAGCCGGGCCAGCACCTCTAGGAGACGACCGTGCACTACATGCGCTTGAGCTCGAGCCACGCAAAGCATCTGAGATGTCTTCACTTTGGACGGCGCATCGGGGGCATATTCCTGCTCGTCTCTGTCGCGCCGTCAACTCCACATTTGACATCTAATACAGGATGCACCCGGGGGGCATAAATCTCCTGCCAGACCTCCTCACGCTCTCCCTCCCCCTCCCCATCTCCCTGCGACTTGCCCCCTCATGCCTCTGCCACTCCTCTCGGAGCGCGAGTATGCAAAAGGAACAGAGACTTAGAGCCAGAGGGAACTCTAGCACCCTCCAAGGTTGACCTAGTTCTGGCAGAGTGATTCACCCCTATTCATTCACAAGTCCAACGCACTCCACTCCCCCCCCCCCCCCCCCCCCCCCCCCCCCCCCACCTCCACACTCTCTCGAAAACAGCCCCCTGAAGAGTTCACCTACGTCACAGGGACTAGATCTGAAAGAAGACTTTCAGAGAAGGATACAGAACTCTGTCAGAAGCTCAAAGAACAAAGATACAGTACCACAGGCCTGTGTGGAAGCTAACAAATAACTTAATTACAAGCTTCAGTCTCTTTCAAATGAGGTCCCTGAAGATCTCATTTCAAAGAGAATCACATTCACTCCACAGTGTAAACTCTGAGGGCAAAGAGTGTATCATTTCTTCCTCTTTTCACAATTTTTGAAGACATTTAACAATAAAAAAATAAAGTTCATGCTTTGTAGAATGAATTTCTTGGATAATCTAAACATTTCCTCACAACATTTTCCGCGCACAAATGATCACCTGAATCTGAGTAATAATACAACTCATCCACAGCTGGAACTCATAACTGTTCACAGTATCAAACTATCAGCATATTTTGCTCCACTAACTACTGAATCAATTAAATCTTTACAAAAAGTGGAGGCGTAATTATCTTTGAAGCGGACAGTCAATGAATTACCACTTTAAGAAATTGTAGTCAGGGACTGTCAGCGCTTGGCTCAAAAATAAAACAATTCAGCAACTTAAAAAGCTCTACACTGATTATCGTTTTTTTCTCTCCCAGAAATCGTATCGTTGCTTTACTTCAAGCAATTCTTTGTGTCTGCCAAACTTCTATCAGCTTTTATGAAAATGACTGGTTTAACCCATCATTGTGATCCTGCAGAAAAGTGAAGAGAAAGATGCAACGAGCCCTCTTAATGCGTCATAACAGTGACTGTCGCCTTTTTGCGGTGATTCATCTGCCTGTTTCCTCACCTTTAGTTGTCTCGCTCTCCCTCACCAGGAAGGTTCCACGTCTGTTCGTCAGGTTCAGAAGGAGCCTCTCTGAGTCACGCCGAGTGATCTTCCCAAAATACCACCTGCCAAAGTGGGCCACAGAGGGGAAGATCAGAGAGAGGCTGCTGGGGAGCTGCTGAAACCGGCAGGAAGGACCACGCATGCATGGAAATACTTTGCCCGTTCTTGCAGCATTCTGCCTGTAAACGTGGCCTCGTCATATACGTACATATAGGAAACAACCCTCAGAGTCCAAGCAAAAACAAACAACAGCAAACTAAAAGATTGACAAAAAGAGAAGATAGCGTACTCTTCTGCTTGGATGGAGTCAGATGGAGCCACGTAGTTGCTGGGGATGTAGCCACTCTCTCCGGTGGTGAGAGAACGAGCGAGCCACCAGTCCCCTTCTCTGAGGGGAGAAGATAAAAAAAAAAAGGGCCAGACGGTTAATGTTGAACAGAGCAAAAGGAGCAAGCAAACGCCTTACAACTAATGGTTTTAAAGACACTGAAGTTTGTTGTTATTTAGAAAAGATCCTATCATATTTAAGGAGGGAAAAAAAATATGACAGGCGAGATAGACTCTTCCATATTCGATTTGGAAAATAGTCCCGTTCCAGTCAATTACGACCCATCAGAAGTGACACCCTGCGGTCTTCTTGAATCTTTTAACCTTTTATTCTCATTTACGCTGTATTGAGGACGTTTTGGGCAATAGCCTTTGCGCAGAGGGCGTGTATGTGCGAGTGCTTTAGGAACATAGCAATTAGTTCAAATTGCTGTCTTCTTCTACGCAACAGTGACTTTGACACGGACTGTGGAGGTTTGTGACTTGCTCCATCTTTGACTCTCTTCACTTAATCACGATACATAAAGTATTTTTTTTATGTACGCATACTTTTTTTTCTTCTTCATGACAACTCATCTGATCTTTAACCAACAGAGGATTGGGGGAAGTGCTGTGCTGAGATTAAAGTGGTTTGGATGAGTGGTTCTCATAAGTCAGACAAAACTTGTTCACAGTTATGTTTTCACTGCTACCAACGGCCTTCAGTGGCCATGGATAGATTAACTCCACGCCACCACAAGAATGTCTTGCTTCTTGATGTAAATGGCAAAGCGTGTGGCCAATCCAACCAGCTCAACGGACTCACCTCAGGCTTTGTGCTTTTAGCAGCACCTAACGTGTGTCGTGTTCAGTGTAACTTTATCACTGTCCTCTTATAAAAACAATAATGCTTGTTAGTTATACTTGTTTCTGACAGCATCACAACTGTCTACCTTCATGCAAGACGTCACAGTGAAAAATGGTAAAAGGGGGCAATCACCACATTGGAGTCATATCTGCACATTCTTCATGAAATGATGCAGGTTATGCGTTTCAGAAACATTAGATGTTTTTTGGGAAATGAAGCTAAAGGCTTTACAATAACAGCTGTCATCCTTAGTTCGAGGGAATGTGCCATGCAGCTATAACTGGACAGTCAGCAGAGGATTCAAGCTTGTTTTGATTTTTAATTGAATTTTTCTCATGATAATTTTAGGCTGCTTCTCATGGGGTTTAAACAAAGTTCCTAAACAAGTTCTTATATATCATTTAAGGTGTTTTGTGCACTCAACATTAAAACAGCAAAAATTGAAAATCTGATTCTTAACTTATCCCACACCCAAGTTTGCAGACTGGCAACCTTTTATTCTGCCTGCACCCAGTGTATAATCCAATATAAAGAGGCACTAAGAAAGTCAAAATTCTTAAATCAGTGTATCCCAGTTACACAATGACTTTGGTCAGACAAATACATGCATCAGCAAAGGGGCTGAACCAAAGGTTGCATGAGAATGGCATTAAAAATTACTGACCTGAAGCTGTACTTTTTCCTAGAAGAAACCATGAAGCATGAGAAAAGGAGAGAGAGGGAGAGATAACAGATACAGCAGACACATCAAAACACAGCAAGGCCGGCAGCACAGACAGAGAGCAGACGAGCTGGGTGTGCTATGGGACCACACAGCAGGGCTGTTCGAAGTTCTGCTTTCCATTTCATTGTAGCGATTATGGAATGTATTCATGATTGCCATTACTTTCCACAGACTCCTTATTTTTTGCCAATTCAATTTTCTTGAGAATTATCTTTTAATTTAGAGTCAAAACTAAAACCGTACACTCCAAGCGCAGGTCACAAGATGAATTTCTCTCATACAGCCCTTCTGTGTGGGGCCGGACTATAGAAGAAAGAACGGACGAGCAGCGGAAGTTATGGAAAAAGTACAAACAGAAAATAAAAAAATTACTCGCTTAAGTGGCTTCAACAGATTTAATGTTTAATGTATGTCCTGTTCCCTTTTTTATAAATCACAATGCATACATACTTCAACAAGCACTTTATTCCGTCAACCAAAAAGAAAAATCTTTTTTTTGGCATCCTCTGTGTTAGAAGGGAATGTGAGATTATATCTAAGTGTGACAGGCTCTCTGGTAAGTGCCTTAAACATTAAGATGGTGACAGAGGAGCAGAATGCATTGGCAAAGAGCCTTTGTCTTTGGTATACAGATGGGAGGAATCACTCTCCAGCTACCAGGCCCGACTCTTAGCTTGATTGCAAGTGTTTATTCAAATGTAAATGTGTACGTGAAGACATCTGCTCATTGAGATATTTCGAAAGTTTCAGAATATGTGCAGAAGAGACGGATGACTGTTGATTCTTACGTGTTGTTGACAATCTGTAGCCGGTCTCCTTTCCTGAAGGTCAGATCAGATGCGGTCCTTGACTCATAGTCATACAGTGCCACAAATGTAGTGACACCACCTTCAGGAAACCACAGTGATGGATATTAATGTTATGTACAGAGAGCGCTTCCTCTAAACTTGCATAACACAAGCCTCGCCGTATTGATTACTCACTGTTCAGCGCTACGCATTACGTTTTACATCGAGTTTCGCTCCCCCAATCTCTCCGTAGAGAACAATTTGCCGGACCGAAATGAAAACTATTCATCTTCATGAGGCCTTTGACCAAACATTCTTGAAGGACAAAGCTGTCACATTAATGCTCATCCATTTCCTGAGCAGATTTTTATGCCTTCTGTTTAATGAACCCCATTATCTAAAGCAGCGAACTTTCCAGCCAGTTGCCCGTTTGCTCATTAGATCCTTGACAGGAGGAAGCATTCAGCAGAGCTGTTTCTGGTGGACCAGCAGGCCGCCGCTCTCTGGATGGAGCAACATTAACCCGACCATCTGGCCGGTCTAGACAACTTAAACATCCTGTAAATTACAGACATTTTGGCCCAAAGTCAGAGAGAAGCTTTGGTTATTTGGTGGTGGGAGGACAACGGCTCTCCAAATCTTTTTCTGTTTAAATGTGACTCATTCTGAATGAGCTCTTAGATGCTTGTTTGCCTTTTCCCTTCAGACTGTGTGATCACAAACTCAAATGATTCTGACTCACAAATCAAAGATTCATCGGCGGATCTTATCAAATCTGTTCCCCACATTTATTTACACATGGCCGACGGCCACAAAATAACAAGGAGGTCTGCCTTTCACCGTTTTCACCGTTTGCGAAGCTGTCTGATTACACGGAGAGTTATGAGCAGGTGCATCTGTTGGATGAGCACAGCGGCTGCTCAGGCTTTCGGTTCCTTTTCATCAAGCCTTGACATATTTCTCTTTGAGTTAAACTTAGAACAATTTGCTCAAAATGTAAGATACACTGGAATCTTGTTTCTCTTCATTATCTTATTACCAAGTTTTCTTTGTCCTTTGGATCCAACTTTCTGTACATAGCACTTCTGTAAATGTCCATATTGTGGAGGTTTTCGTTTAAATCTCCCAAAAAGATAAGAAAATATTTTCTTTTCATGTGCACAGCTTCATGTCTTTGATGCCCTTGACACAGCACTGTTTTTACTCTGCCTGTAAATAACTACGTTGGCTTCATTCTGACTCAGCAAGCCAAAGTTTCTTACCGGCCAGAGGTCCTCTCTGAGGTGATGTGACAGTTCCTGCGTGATCCACCCCTCCGAAGAGAGCCAGCTCGGGCGTATTAGTTGGGGCATGGTGATGCTGCCCTTGATTCCTCTGCCTGCCTGAACCTACCGCAGGGCTCCGGTTAGGGGTTTGCGTCTGCTGGGCCGGGCCCAGGTGATGGAAGTGCCCGCTGTCTGAGCCTGTACCTATGGTCCCGTCCAGGCTCATGGAGCGCTGACCGGGCTCTTTGGGCTTGCTCTTGCCCGCCCCCATGTGCAGACCTGGGACCAGAGGGAACAATGATTAAGAATGATGTCAACAGGTTGTATTGTTATGCTTTCTATTCATCAGGAAATACAGTAGGACTACCTTTTGGTCTACACGGCCCTCTTTTTATTTATTCAAAATTGCATCCAATACATCTGCCATCAATCAAATTGATTACAGGAAATACAAAGGAGGATCTCCTTAGTTATAATGCAAAAGCTAAAAAAAAAAGAAAGTTAAATGTCAAGGATTTTGAAAACTGTTAGATTCAGGGACAAGAAAAACTGATGCCGTTTGTTTATCTTTCAGCAGGTTACTGCCCCGAACCCACCACAGTATCACAAGTGATTTTCCAGCTAAAAACATTCAGCTCATCTTGTTCTTGTTGTATTAAATCTAATCTGAGTCAACGAGCATCAACAAGGAAAACAAAGCTTTAAACGAGAGGAGGCGTGGATGCGCTGAGGTTGATGGGTAAAGCTGTTGAGTTGACAAAGGACACACGTTTACATCTGTTGTGTCTGCATAAATGCAACGAGTCAAGAGTGTGCAGTCATCAACGGTGCAAAGACAAACAAGCTCGTACAGCCACAGTGCACCCACAGAAAGTTGGAGTGCCTCGCTCACAAACCAGCCCGTTCCTCCCCTCCAGGCAGCATGGAATGACTCACTGTGAGACCAGCTATTTCAGGCCAGCTGAAACAGAGACAGTCACACACACATGAAACAGCCTTGTTCCTTTGTGAACAGGAGCACTCTCAGTTCCAGACAGTGTATGCATGTTTGTAAGTGTGTGTGTGTGTGTGTTTGCGTTCATCAGCAGCTGTTCCTTGGCCTCTGGGAAAGAAGGCTTAACTGCGCACTAACATCCAAGGTTGTGTCTCACAACCTTTTTCCAATACATGCATATAACCCTGTGAGAGAGTCGGACACACACTGGTGCGAGTCTGATAGACAGGACAGCGGAGGGTTGTTAGCAGACAAGGAGGAAGGAACTGGATGTGGCTCTAAAAAGAATGTGTAGGTGGATGTTGTGTAATGCAGGGACAGCTGAGGCTTAGTGGGTGTTTAAAGTGTGATGTGTGAGCATAACATAATTACACAGGTATGGGAATTCTCAAAGACATGGCAGGATCCTGCTGTGGAAATGTGTAGGTGGACAAGCTACTGAGAGGGGTGATCAGCGCCCCGGAGTGAGAAACATTTCTCGGAGCACAGGCATTTGTGCCAGCTTTGATTCAGGCTCTGCCAGGAAGTAATCTGGTTAACTTTTGGGTTGAGGCATGCGTTTCCATGAATGCAACGGCGAGAACGATCACAGTTTGTCATTCTGGTATTCTTGGTGATTTTAATCAGTGACACTGGGATGTATAAAACGCCTGTGTTCGGGTATCTGCAAAGACAAAATTCCAAACTTGAGATTTAAACTCAGTACTGTATTAGGGACAAATGGAAGAGTAAATTTAGAGGGGTTAACTTATATACCTAAATCAATGTTGAAGCACAAATTAGGATGTAATTTGTAAATCTGGGTAATTCCTCAAAATAAAGTCTTAATCAAAGACCTAACTGAGCAGCTCTATCTGGCCTAACAATGACAAAAAATAACTTGGAAAAAAAAGTTTCCATCAGGGTTGTTGAAGTATTTTAAAAAAGTGCTCTAGGTCATATATTAGCCACTGAAAAGTTTCCTTGTATTGTGAACTGAAGCAAACCTGATGTGGTTGGCAGTGATTAGGCAACTGGAGCCGACCGATAAGCGCAGAGTAGACGTTTGGGGGTATTTAAATATGTCTGCGCAAACACCACTCAACAAGCTCAATGGGAAATTTCAATTTCCCATCAAGTAACAGTCAATGTGCCTTATCCCATATGTTTACCTCACCCCCACTTTGCATCCAATCTCACATAAAAAGTTGCTCTGGGTTGCAAAACTAACCAATCGCACCAGACTGGGCTTTTCTGAGGGGTCGGATGGGAGGGAAGATACACCCACATGATGTTTTTTAATATGTGGAAGCAAATATTATATCACAAGCTGCTATAGGAGCACCTAAAGAAAAGCAGGCAACAACTTTCTGCTTACAGTTTGCAAAATTGAGGCTCCTGCCACGGCTCAAATAAAGCTGGGGGAAAACAGAAAACTATTCCTAAGGACGCGTCAAATGAGACAGTACATGTGTGCAACAAGAGATGAGCACACAAGCACATGCCAGAAGGGGGAGAAACAGGCAGGAATTCAAACTGATGGCCGTTTTGTTCTCCTCAGATCTGCACAATGTCATTGGCTGGTGGCCAAACATCATCTGCCCAAAGGCTGCAGTCTAAAAAAAAAATCAATTAATTAAAAAAAAAAAATCTCCTGAACACAGAGAGATAAACAGAGAAAAGGAAGATGAGCGGTCTCAAAGTAGAAACACGTCACACACGCAAGTAAAGATAGACCTCAGCTCCCACTACATTTGTGCAGGCACGGCGGCCAACGAGAACTCCCACTTTAATGCCAAAAAAGAGCAAATCTCTATTCATTCAGATACAAAAACCCTCTTGATATAGAAAGCCTTTGTGCCGTGCCTTTCTCCAACACAACCTCTGAATAACTGCCAACGAAACTCCCTTTGAGTTACTGAGTTACTGTCGAGCAAGAACAGAGGAATAATGGACCCAAGTTAGCTAACGGTGCATAAAGAGAGGAAGTTGAGGACGGATGAGGGTGAATTCCACAAGTTTATCTTCAGAAACTTATAAAACAAACAAATAAACAAACAAAAAACTGGTATAGGTGAGAAAGAGGAACAGAGGATAGTGAGTTTAAAGCTGAAATGGTTTTTTGATCACTTCCACTGTCACTTTTAAGTTAGCATGAGATATTAAGTATGAGAAAAAAAACAAAAAAACACTGAAACGAGATGATCCAATTGATTTGGGACGAACTAATAATTTCTCATTAGGTTTAATCTCACAAAATCGACAAAAAGCCCCGCATTCTTACAACCAAGAGCGGCACAGAGAGTCATGAAGTGCCCTAAAAAATGTCCACAAAAGCAACAACAGGGTGCACTTGAAAAGCCTCTGAGGCTGCATTTGTAAACAGCAGAACTGGCTGCGAGGCTTAGCCCCACGCCGCTTCCTAATATGGTGCTCCCATATCAATAAGTGCTAACATGTGACTGTAACGCGGGGCTAAAATGAAGGAGAGAGGATCGGTGATGATTCAGCAACGGAGACTGAGGAGAACCGAAGAGTCAAAACGAGCCGCGAAACATCCCCGATCCTACCGAAACGGCAAAAGGGGGATAGACTTGAGGATGGAAAAATAATGAGGAACAGGACACGAGGAGGGCTTTCTGTCACCGCGGGTTTTTCCATATAACGGGAGAGTGGAGGAATGTGGGGGAACTGGACCGCACCGCACTGCCACGACTGCCAGCTACTGCAGCAGGAACAGGCACCTGAGCAGCAGGAGGCGAGATGGGAGGAAGGAAGTGAGGAGGGAGATGAAGGAGGATGGCGTGTGTGCAGAAAGAATCAACGCTTCTCTCTTTTTCTTCCTCCCCTAAACTAATCAAAATCCTTTTCCAGGAGAGGCCCCAGTTGATTTACACCTTACACCTCGCGGCAAACCGCAGCAGAAACGTCAGGATTTGTACCTAGAGGAGGATGTAAATTACAGCGCCTCCATGCTGTTATGTTTCTAAGCCCTTTTCTTTTCTTCAAAGATATTATAAACTATTTTTCCGCTACATAAAGAAAATCCCCACTGAAAAAGGCTCTCTGAATAGACCTGTGCCTTTTTTTTTCTGTTTCCAGATGAGAGATTTTAAGGATTAGATGTGAATCATGGAAAAATACAGGCTTTATTCGAAACGCTGTCCTCTGAGTGGTATTTACCTCCGATCCACAATGGAGTTCAAGAGCACTTCAATATTGACTCTGCATTCATCACTGCCCTGCGTCGTTCTCACCGTCACATTGCTGACTGACTCACAAAATCTATGACCCCGCTCTGCGCATGAAATGAATGCTGAGCGTGAAGTTGGGAAATAACGTGAAGAAGGGTGGGGAGTAAAAGGGAAAATTGCCCGGATACCTGAATGGAATGCGGGTTAAGAAATCAGGCAAGTCCTAACACCTATCAAGCCCTGAAAGTTTACCACGGGAGGATAATGTTTGAGCCAAAAAGACTTTCCAGGTTATTGAATTGGAATCTGTTTTTGTGATTCCATAAAAGCCCCAAAATGTACAGGCCTCCTGTAAACGAGGGTAGCCCTGCTGGACTACACACCAGCTACAACACCAGTGTTTCCTTTTACCTTGAGCTATAAAACCAAAACGATGAGCAAAGAAACCTGTCCATTTTAATAGAGTTGCTTTTAGTCAGATTCCCTATAAAAAGGACATTCTCTGCACTCACAAGCTCACTTTTTTCTGCCGGTCTACCACAGCTCAACAAAGAGCCATTGTCTGGGGGAAACAGGGAAGGGGTGTCTGCTAATATGTCTTTGAAGATATCCACTTTTATAAGACAAAGACAGCTGAAGCGCATATATTAGCTTCAGGCGACTGAAGGACTGCAGGGAGGAATCTTTTTTTTATTCAATGCCAAAAACGGGGCTGGACAAAGGAAAAACTAAACGCATCAGCTACGTTTAGAGGGAAAAGGGGCTGTGCTGCAACAGGGAAGTTCCTGGTCCCCTTCTGAAGTATGTTCATGAATTCCTCGCTTGTTAGGATAAAACCATGCACCAACTCATTGGTTTAAAGTTGTAAAAAGATTACATTAAATAATAAAAGATCAAATGTAATGTAATGTTCTGGGTGCAGACCTTTTTAATGTGGTCAATATATTTATATAGTGTATTATTTTAGTTTTAAAAAGCCAGAATACAAGCATTTCATATTTAAAAAAATGCAGCAACTGTGACAAAATGAGGATTCCGTTTCAAAACGCTGCTTTGAAAGGTCTGCCATGTGGGATTTTGCACATCTGCTGACATCAATTGTAGATGGCGACAAACTGATTGAGCATGTAGGAAAAAAATACACCGAATGGGAAAAAAACCCCACTCCCTTTTTATGTGGGTAGTCAAGTCACCAACATTTGTTGATTTGCATATTCAGGTTCGGGAGACATAGGGTAAGAAAACAAAAAAATAAAAAGCACAAATAAGTCGAACACTCAAAAGTGGACATCAACATGCTGGTGCAACTCGGGAGAGAAAGCATGGATGGGAACTCTCTTTAGGAACTACTCACCCACAATCATTAAAATTTGAATGTTTAAAGATGGTGATTTAGTACTACAAGGTTCACTCTGACAGTGCTTGGGTTAAAAAAAAAAAAGAATAGAAATAGACTCTCAGATTTGGCCACCCTGAACAACATTCCCCAAGCTGAGCGGACTGGCTGCACATTTGGCTGCGACAAACCTCACTGAGTCACAACAGACGGTAACAGTTGCTTCTGTGCGGCAGAGTGAAGGCGCCGAAGCCAATGTTTCAGTTCAATGGGGAAATTACAGTTTGCCCTTGGGAGGGAGGCGAGAAAAGGATGGTTACTCAGGATCAAAACATGAGGAAATGCGCACATTAGCGCCGTTGCCTTATCTGGCAAAAAGCAGCAGAATAACATGAGGCAATATTGTCCCCTCGCAAATATAAAATGATAATGCAGTCAATTGTCCCATTTTAATTTTTGGGATCTCTTTAAATACAGGAGCTTCATCGTCTTTTCTCTTGGACGTTATCGTCATTAACCTGTTAAGATCTCAGAGAGAATGAGAGAGCACTCCCAGGGCCATCTCATCCCCCCTTTGGCAAACACACAAACACACACAGGAAATGCAAGTAGAGAAAAAAAAAAAAAAAACTGGAGAAGGAAGAGGAGGACCGAGGCTCTGGGTTGATAAAACCCACTTCTGTCCATCTCTGGCTGAAGGCTTGGGCAGCCAGTGATCCAGGCCTCAAGATGCAGCTGCTGCTGCATGATTAACTGAACATGACACACGGGGTGTTTCATGTCGGAGGCGACGCGAGTCATTTACTCAGCAAAGTCTTCAACACCGCCAGCCTTTAATTTTACTGCGGTTTACAGAATATTATAGAAAAAAGGCTCCCCGCGATACAAAATTGGCCATTTCTACTTTTCTCCCTCGTATATAAAATATAAGATCATTGGGTTTGGGACAATTTACTGAAAAACAATTATTAATAGGACAATCAAGATGGAAAGTTGGGCTTTGGAAATGCGTAATGAGCTTATTTAATGGCGTGATGCAAATGCAACAGACTTTTCTCTTCATTGATTGAGGAAACAGCTACTGAATTATTATAAACAAGGAACATACTCTGGAATTTGTCTGTAACTCTGGACAACTTGTTTGTAACCATACTTTTAAGGATCACTTTGGCCGTCCAAAAGTGCTTTGGCCATACATGGAATGCATGTTAAAAGTGTCCAGTAGTTAAAACTCAATATTCAGCTTTCTCAGGCCTCTCAACCATGGATCCACTGCCTTATGGGAATTAGCTGGAACTAAACAGCCCAACCAAAAAACAACAACAACAACAACATACTGTAAACAGATTTGTCACACAATTAAAAATCATGTTTCCAAAGGATTAAACACCAGTTGTCAACAAAGCTGCTTTCAAAGAATCACGGGGTGGGGTGGCTGCTGCCTGGAGGAGCAGCAGCTGTCAAAGTGGAAATGGATTTAGGCTCTGGTCGTACGTTTAGAAGAAGAAGAAGAAGAAGAAGAAAAAAAAAAAAAACATTTATGCAAAAATACACAGGCATTGATTTCCGAGGTGACCCACGGCAGGAACGTAAACAGCCCATTTGTGAATGAGACGGGGGGGGGGGGGGTATAAGAGTGAACAATGCTCCACCGCCTGTCATCGCTCTATGCGGCCTGAAGAATCAAAACAGGTGCTGGTACAGCTCCATTTTGAATTTCGATGCATGTGTTGGCTTTATTTTGCCGTGCAGAGTCGATTTACTGCGTCCCCCCCCTCCCCTTCCCCCCCGAGGGTTTGGTGCTCGTTTACACGAAAAGGAAAAAAAAAACGCCATTTGCCCGTAGGCTTTGTATTTTACGGGGTGTAGCTAGTCGTCAACAACCTAGCCCCGGCAGACTGAATGGCACTGTCCAAATGTGGGAGCCGACACTGACTCAACGGCCTCTGCAACAATGAAATCAAGTCTGTGAGGAGGGGTATCATACGCTTTTTTTTTTTAATATATAAGATGTACGTGGGGAAAACCCCGGCCATACGTCAAAAAATCCAATCTGTTCCACCTCACTTCGCAAAAAAAATAAAAAGGAAAGAAAATAATATTAATAATGATAATAAAATAACAAGCTCCAATTAACCTACCGTTGACGAGTCTAAAGATTCAGCCCAGAAACACAGAGACGCGCGGAGAGGAACCGTGTTAGATCCGTGCGGTTGTCCTCATTTGAAAAATAAAGGAAGCCGATGGGCAGTTGCTGTGGAAACCTCGGGCCGGCCACGAATCCCATTTAGCGAATCTCGGTGGAGTCGCGGAAGGAGGAGGTCATGACGGGGACTGCCTTCGGGAAACGAGGGGGCTACAGCTGCCGCCGGCTCCGCTGGGCCGGGCGAACACCAAACCTCAGCCGGAGAGAGTCGACGGCACACTGCGGCCAAGCCAGCGCTCCGTTTGGAGAGAGACGGTCCAGCCAGCGCTCGCTTTATTTGGTGCGCATGCACACGGGGTATTACGGCGTTGACTTGGCAGCTTTCAGATTAAAAGCAGGATTCCTCTGTCACGTCCCAACATCCATCCATCCATCCATCCTAAAAATGTAATAGACTCTGAATTAGTTTTTAAGGTTCAAACCTGTGCACCCGTAGAACTGTATTCATTAAAAAAAAATGTTTCCATGGATCTGTTTGTTTTTAAATAGAAGGATGGTTTTATGATGGAGCAGAAGTCTAAATCTGACAATTTAAACCACATTACATGTTGAATAGTTAGATAGGACTTCTTAAGAAAGACCCTGAGAAACTTCCTTTTAAAGGATTCTCTGAAGATGTCTGCTTTCAATCAAACATCAATATTATCTTTGGCAACAGAGGTTTTCTTCTTCATATGCATCTCAAAATTATGATGCAATTTTTTTTTTGTATTTCAGTACCCCTCTTTGGGAGTATATATTTTATACAAAGTAAAACTGATTTAAGGATAACTTTATTTTTTTAATGCAGCTCTGTAAATGAACTGTTTAGGTTGTAAAGGGTTTCTTCTGTGGGTTGTCAGAGAAATTGGTAACTCATTGGTAGAACATGATTTATCAATGTTGTTTTTTTAAATTTTGTGACCAAAATGGTTTGATTTATCATGATGTGTACTCTGATATGAAACTGTTGTACATAAATAAAACAGCACTTCAGTTTTATTTTTGATTTAGGACGTTTAAACCTATTTACGACCCTGAAACTCTGATAGTGAAGTGTTGGGATCCTGCATTTACTTTGAAGATGCTCCTAAAGGCGAATACCGTAATACCTGATGTATACGCGACCATCATACCTGCTTTTGGGAATGCCGCTGGGTAGTGCATCACCGACCAACACGAGAGCGAAAATATGAGGAGGTTGGACTGTACGTATTTTACGGGGCGACAGAAGCGACGGCATGATTCACGTCATGTTGCGCAAGTCCCGATTCAGTCGTTTTGAATCGCAGAGGCGCTGGCAAGACCCTGTGGACACCTCTGAATGGAATTAATTAATTCTGTCACGAAGCAGAGGCCTCGTTGGTTGGAAATGTGGAACAGAAATAGCTTCTCAATGTCATGGAATCACCAACTTCTGCAAAAAAAAAAAAAAACATTTCGCTTCCTCGTTTGCCGAGTGAATCGGTTGCTTAGCAACGCATTTCAGTTCAAATAGAAACCGTAAATGACGCATTAACGTGAAACCCATAAATCTGAGTTTTACGTTAATCCACAGCGTAAAAGATACATGTTTATACAAGACAACTTCACGTGTAATGCAAATCATCTGTGAGCCAAAAACTGGATTATGACCATTATGTGAAAACCAATGCTTTTATTGGTCTGCTTTAATAAAAAAAAACATCATTCATCAAATGACATTCTGTTATAAAAGAAACACAGGAGACAAACATAATAAGAAAGGCATCAGCAGCCAGTGTGTCATATTTAGTGTTGTATTACGATTAATCAGACAGCTGAATTTTAATATTAGTGGATTGACAACTGAAATGTTTCCAATGACAAATAACACCCATTGCCACTGAGGGGTTAACACAGAGTTAATGAGTCACATAATGCTGTTTATCGTTTCTTTTTGCTCTCTTTCTTTGGCTTCTGTCGAATCTGAGGGGCTGGTCCTTTAGGTTTCTTCATCTGTTCGGTGCTTTTGCCATCGTTGGACTCTGCTTCCTCCTGTTGATCAAGGACCAAACATATTAACACCCTCCAATTCAATGGAGATTCTGAGTTACTGAAATAAAATATGCAACATGAATTCCAACAATCATTTGATGAAAGTGACAGTGTTGACCAGGTTATTGTTTTACATAGAAACAATGAGCTATATTTTTTTCGTGCTTTTAACCATGTAAATGTGCATTTGAAGAAGAAACTTCACGCTTGAATGCACAAAAACAAAAGACATGCTCCCTCCCCATCTGCACGGTTTCTGTGAATGCAGCCTTTCCTGTCGGTCTGGCAGGGAAAACTGACAGCCTGACGTTATTGAGAATGAAATGTCGACAGGGTGTCGAGTGATCAGTGCCTGTGGTGACAACACCAGAAAAATGAATAATTAGACTGGGGATTTAATTTTTCCTGTCTATAAATAACCTCTCCCGACAGTGTTAGTATAGGGAATTTTAGGTACTGAGTCTTTTTTGGGAGATATTAAGGACGAAGCCAAGTTACATATATAATGTATAATGCGTCTTTGAAAGATAAAATGTGTTCATCAAGACACTTCCACACAAACTAAACTATGTCTCTGTTTATTTGATATATTTGGATAATAAATACAGTCACAATGCAGTTTACTGTTCCTTTCGAATACAGATTATGATTCAACTCTTAACTGTCTTCGCTCTAGAAACTCCCAGCCTGGTAATCTAACCTGACTTTATGGTATTCATGCCGGCTAATAGAAGCAGTACAAGCAGCTAGAGCAATTGGAAGGTGCCATCTGAATTGGATCTCACATCTTCTGTGTACCTCTCTAGGACATTTTTTCATTTGATGATGGTTGGCGGTGAAACTGAATCTAAACAAGAGTCAAACATATCTGAGCAGACATCTGACGTCATTGTGGAAATCTTTTTTGAGTTGATAGGACCGCAAAAGTTGTAAATTGCCAACTTCAATAAATGTGGGTGATAAATATCTCTGATAACTGTATCAGAAATGTTGCTTTGATAATGAGCAATTTTTATATCATCAAGTATACATACCGTAGACACGATAAAGGAAAGGTGCATGACAACCTTATTTACCCAGCACACATGATTCAGTCTTGTATCTCGTGGCAACCAAAACACAACAATCTTTACTCATGGAGGAAATATGCAGCAATATTCTAACTAAGCTAATGTTTCTATATAAAGACATGACAGCAAGGCGGGTGTTTAAGGGAAACCAAAAAGGTGTGAATCTTGGGGAAATGGGCGTGGACAGAAGGTAATTTACAGTACTGGACTGGCCTTTAGGGACCCCTGATTTAGTTGTTGAGCTGATCAGAAATTTGCTATCAGTTCTTCATTTGCGTTTAGCTTTTAACATTATAAGAAACATTTATTTAAACATATTTCATTAGGAAAGAGAATAAAATAATCACATTAAATATTTTGACCATACCCTAGTTAAAATCTGATAAACACAGTCTGAGGGGTAAAGCCCATGACGCTCTTTTGTTTCTGACTTTGATAAGAACAACAAATTCCCCCTCCTCTTCTTCAAGTGGTGCCCTCTTACCTGCTCATGGCCTTTGGATGGGGAGAAGATGACAGCCAGGATACAGATAAGCTGGAAGATGGCACCCAGGAATAACCCATAACGCAGAATGCTTTCTAATAAGGTGGGCTCAGGGACTTCTGGAGTGGACAGGTCCAGCTCTGCAGACATGATGCTGCCCGGTTTGGACGTGCGTCTTCAGTGGTCTTTCTGAATTTATGAGGGAAAAAAGAGGGGAAAAGACATTTGGCGCATGGTCCTAATTACGGGGACAAAAACATTCACTGCTTTATTCTAACTTTAGAGCTAGTCAATTGTTTCAACCTTCAACATTATGAAAGTGTATCTAATCCAATTTAAACCAAATTACGACACATTTGCGGTGAAGCTGCAGACCCGTTACAACCTGGTAAATACCACTAGCTAAACTCGTTTAAAGAGACGAAAACAACAGAGAAATGCTCACCACCAGAGATAAAGTTATGCCACCCCTTTTAGGAATAATTTCAAGTTTCAAATGAATTTCAGAAACAAAATCAGGGCAAACTCTGAGACGCTTTCAAGCACAAGCGTAGTAATTCACAAAAAGGAGAAAAAAAATAATGATTTGCGGAAGTGACGTAATGGTTTACTTCCGCTCTGGCGGAACATTGCTTTGAAAACGCTGCCCCCTAACGTTCAGATGCAGTTCCTTTTTATGAAAAAAAAAGTACACTTTACATTTTCATCAAGCTGTTTCCAAACCGACAAAACAGTTTGTAGACTCCTGAAGCTGGGTATTATTTGAACATTTATTTATCTATCTCAAAACAAAGAAATACATTAAGCTCTTAATTGATGCAGCGAATTGTGGGAAATAAAATCATAACCATCAAAGTTCTACTGTAAAATTTGGATAATATATTAAATCTTATCTTCATACATTATTTAAACATAGTAAGCACATCTTTTAAAATACATTTTTAATTAATTTGAACAGTTTTTCCTTGTGAGACTCATGAATCAAGGATATTTTTGTACTTATAAATATTTGATAATACACTTTGCACGCAGGGCTTACTTTCACTAAGACTAATAGTTTATGAAACATATTCTTGTAATTTCAGGTAAATCTTTTATTATTTTCAAAATTAGGTTTGAAAAACACAGTTTATACACAACATATTTGAAATATTTCTTGAGTTAGAAATGGACAGTTGTGTATTAGGAATCTTCATTAGAAAATCATTCTTCAGTCCATTTTTACATTAAATATAGTCACATTTCTCGCAGAGACTTAAACTGAATTTATTTCGTAAAAAATATTTTCTTCATACTTATGGAGAACAATTGTACAGTTATATGAACAGAAAAAAACGAACAGAAAGAAACAGTAATAACAGTTTTTAAAAAATGGACACAATAGATACAAGGTAAGAGGTGCGATACAATGATCTTACGAAAAGACAAAAATATTTGGCTTAATTAACCCATTTCTGAAGAAATGTGCCACAACTGTAATTGGGACACCCAACTTCCAGAACAAGCCTTCCATGTTTAAAATGACATCATTCTTCTAAGTCGGCTGGGACTTTACATTCAGTGGGTAAACTTTAAATATGCGCGTCTCCAGATCTGCAGCAGTGCAGCGGGTTCAGTCTTCATTGTGTCCTTTCATGTCTCGTCTGATGATGTCATTCACTACAAAAATTGACATGAGGGAAGAGCAACTTTAAAGTTTGAAACAAAATTCAATAGGAGATGCATATTTTTATACAATTAAAAAAATGTATATTCTATAATTTACTTGACAACCCCTATGTGCAGATTTATTCACAGTTTTTTTGGAAAAGAGAAGTAAAAGAATTAATGAAACTCAGACAGTAAAGTGGATTCAATTAGAATCAAACGCATATGATAATAAAAATTTGGTGAAGCCACTTTATTTCAATACTGCCGATAGGAGTCGCTAGAATCGGATATTTCTAGGCTTGTATTGCTTTTATTTCAAGCAATGAAGATGTTTCTCACCATATTTGAACCAGCAATGTTGAGGTTTATGGTTGGTCACATTCATGCCTCAGTCACCAAAAACCCCAAAATTAAATAACCTGTAACTAAACTTTAAAAAGAAGTACAAAGATCTAACATTACATTGATGCACCCTGGATGGTGCTGGTTTACTGATCAGAGATTCGTTTTTGCTGTTTTCTGGACTAACATAGCATCTTTTTCGTACCAATCTTTGATAGAGTGTAAACAGATCTGTCATGTCAAGCATAATAGACAACTGTAAAAGGAACAACAACATAAATGCAGAAGTGTGTTTATGTTGGCTTGATCATGAGGCTCATCAACAGTTCCCTAAATCCCAACTATTGCCCTTGTATGTGTTAGAAACCAGAACAAATGAATTGCTGCTATTGGTCAACAGGTGAATCTGCATAAATTTGCCTACTTCGTTTACTTCCTGTTTCTTTCCTCTATCACAAAAGGAAGGCATAAATAGTTAGTTTCTCATTTTACAAATAGTGTTACTACTTTTGTCATCCAAAGTGCAAGGCACCTGAAACTGGACTAATTTAAAATGTAACTGTGTTCTCATTAAACCCATAAAATGTCTGACTGTGATAGTGAGAGTGACATTGAAACAAACAGGAAAATGGATAGTAAAGCCTGAAACAAAACCACGAGGCGGGATTTGCAAGTGTACAGTTGCAGTATGCTTGTGTGAACTGCATTGCAGACTGGACCACAAGCACCCAACCCCCAAACGTTACTTCTCATCAGTTATGATATGAGTGCATTTTATACACACACACACACATGCGCACACACAAATATATATATATATATATATATATATATATATATATATATATATATATATATGTGAAACATTTTCTTATTGTGCTATTTTACATCATATGGATGTAAATAACACATTGTACATTATATTAGATTTGATACTGTTTCGTATAGTTAAACAGATTAGCATAAAGTTTGACTGATTGATTTGTTCCAAATGTACAGGAAGTAAAGTTGGACACATCAAGGTTTAAAGGAGGGACGGAGAAGGAAAGACAGACCCAAACTATGATTCTCATCAAAAGGACGGCTTTACAAATGAAAAAACCTCACCATCCTCCAGGTAGGCATAGCTCATGTTCTCTTGCTTGATTGTGATTTTCTCTTGTGCCTGATCATCATGGATTCCTCTGGCAGATCCAACCTGAGACAGAAGCTGCACGCCAGGCTCCACGTGACTTCCAGCTTTCCCTTGTATGTATTTTGTGGGGGGCGACTTTCCCAGAGACAGCGGTGACTGTGCATAACTCTGATGTCTTGACATCGAACAAGCCCCTAAGGAATCCCCGGCTTGAGGACTTCTGACCATTTTGGCCGCAGGCACTCTGGCACTAACGCTGTGGCAGGGTGTATGAGACGGATAAGAGAACCCTGTGCTGCAGCTGCTGTAGCGCTGGTTTGCGGTGTGGTACATCACCGGGTTGTTAATCAGAGTGCAGGCTTGGGACTGGTAATATGCTGACTCATCCAGAGCTTCTGGGGTTACCATGCCTCGGGGGTCCACGGTGGTTAGATGGTACATTGTTGATGAAATGTTCAGGGCTTGAGGGTTGTTGTCCTGTTCCAGGTGATGGTACAGGGCCTTCATAGACAAGCCAGACTGTGACTGATTTTCAGAGAAGCTATATAAAAAGTCATCCAGTGGCTCTGCTTTAATGGCTGAAAAATCAGGACAAAGATTTGAGATATTACCCACAGAGAGAAGACAATGCAATGCAAGCTGTGCCACGGCGCCCCTTTGAGCAAGCTAACATCAAGAAAAACTATTGGGCTGAAAGCTCACTAAAAACACCATACATACCATACAGTGCATCAGAACCCAATATAATTCCCATATGGAATGAAATCATCACTTTTCTCTGTAGTGACTCTTAAGCCGTTGCCACACCACATTGGATTTTGTGTTCTACCCAAGTCTTTTAGCTGTTTTACACATACACATTAATGGTATTTCTGTGAGAACATTTTGATTTGCTCATTCCCACTTAAACAATTGTAAATGTGAGGATAAAATCATGAAACCTTAATATATCCAGAGAATATATATTCATTCTCCAGATTTTGCAATACTCAAACATTTAAGGAGGTTTGCTTCATTGGGTTAACCTGCCAGGTTATATCTGGAAATTGATCTCATATTTTTTGTTTGCTATTGCAATTGCTTAATTTGTTACATCCTACCTATACACATCAAGTTTTAAAGAGCAGTATCTTCACACATCTGTTTATTTACCTGCTGCCTTCCGGGTGGGAAAAGTTTCTCAAACAACTAGTTAAACCTGCTCCCCCTGTTGTGTGAGGGCAAAAATGGAAAGCATACACACCTATCAAAGGCGTGTAGATGAAGTGCTGAGGCTGACTGCGTTTCTTCTTCCCATTAATGACGTAGAAGTTTACTTTAGCCGGCTGGGAAATGTTACAGTCTCGGTATGGAGGAACCTCAACAAACAGCATATTCTAGTGGCGAACACATAACAAATTAAATATGAAATTATTCATCCAAACTCAAATGGGAAAAACTCAAAACCAATATCCCCAATAAAAATGAATTGATGTGATATTATTTGGTAATGTGTTGTGAAAGTCAGGCCTTGTCTTTTGTTTTGATCACACTACAGTGGAAGCTTCAATCTCAACTGTTTATGTGAACATACAGTATCTATTCAATGGATCATTACTCTATCTCCCAAATGGGTTTAAAATAAAAGTTGATTTGAACTTACAGCTTGGGTTTTGTCTCTGTCCACAGAAGCCTCCACCTCCCAGATTTGCCGACCATCTAAAATCAGTGGGAAAAAGGGTGAATGCTTTAATGCAGAGAAAATTTTAAATGGGCCATCTTATTCCTAGTGGGGTCACTGGGTGGGGGGAGTCTATCACAGGGCCACACAGAGACAAACAACCACAACCTGAACCACACTCACTACAGGCAATTTAGCGTCTTAAATGAACCTAACACGCATGTTTTTGGACTGTTGGAGGAAGTTAGATACCTGGAGAGAAGACCCACTCGAACATGGGGAAGACATGCAAACTCCCTTACCCGCATGAACTTAAACCAGGAACCCTCTCGTTGTGAGGCGATGGTGCTAACCACTAAACCACTTTGCAGCTCAGTTTGATAATTGGCTAAAAAAAAGTTATCAGCTCTATAACTTAATGTTGCCTAAGTGTAGAAAATGAACCTCTAGGAAACATGCGAGAAGATACAGATGTAGATAGGAGCTAATAACTGGGGTAAAAAAAAAAGCCTGGCAACAAAATCTGCCTACAAGTTATTACACTTTAATGACTTATCTACTTTATCCAAAACACCCTGTTGTTGTTTGCCAACCCTTTTTTTTGTCTGAAATGGTCCCACACATCAAAGTTTGTCATTTTCAAAAAGTCTTTATACTCTTAAGCTGTTAGGCAAGGAGGCTGAAACGTATGAATCTGTGAGCAATCACATTTTGTTATTCCAGTCTTACTGTATGTAAGCAAATTTGTTCACAGTAAGTGGAAAATAGTGTGTTTTTATAGAGTGCTTTTGTGTTACATTCCCACCTCAGTTTTTACCTGCTGCTTTTGTGATCCGCCCACGCAGCGAAAAAGAAACGACAAAGCCTCTGCTCTGGGTCTGAGTCTTTATCAGTCTGTCAAACCACATCCTGCTGCACAAAACCCCACGCCAAGCAACAGGGAGGCTTTACATGCACCTAACTGTACCCATCCAGCTCTCAAACCAAGCACACCACAATTTTGTGTGGGCAGGAAGAGCAGCGACAAAGTTAGAAAGTTCCATTTAGAAATAAATAAAACCTAACCTCCATCAAAACCGTAATAGTTTAAACTCGCGTTTGTTTAGTCAAAGTTGAAAGCGTGGGCTGGAGACAGATGTACGTCACTCATAGATGATGTTTCCCTGGTGACATGCAAATAATCTAAAAATAAGGTTACAATATGTGTAGGTGGACAAACTTGAGCAGGATACTGGCGTGGCGCATGTGATTATTAGTCGGTCTTAATAATAACAATATATTTAAATCCGAATACAAACACACAACATCAGAAAACACAAACACTAAGTAGTCTTTGTGATAACAGCCCAAAGCGTTTCACTAATCAAATGAACAGTTTTCCTTTCCTGACCATTCCTGGAGTTTATAATGTATCACTGATCATGAAACCCCAGTAGGGTGGAGAGATCCTATAGACAGGTGTTGAATTAGTTTAAAGAAAATCTCACCCTGTGTCTTCTCGGAGAATATCACCTTGGAGTCAGATGTGAAATTCTGCCCTGTGAGGAGCATTTGTTGACCACCGTGCACAGAGCATCGGTCCAGGTCCTGCCGCTCGACTGCAGGGTGCTCCTGAGCTGAGCGTTGCGCTGTGGAAACGAGCAGCCTCATCAGTAACCACACATACACACAAAAAAAAATTAAATATGTTATTGGGAACATTTAGATGGCGGCAAAAGATCTTAAAGATATGTCTATCTTGCAAGATCAGAAAACTACCACACAGGATTTGATAAGAATTCGTGACTGGCACGTGTGCAAAAGAACACATTAACTTTCATTATGCTAAGTTCAATAAAATAAATAAACACAGCAGCAATAGTTCTACAGCAAACTGACATAATCAAATCTGTCCATCACTTTATGTAGACTCTGTAGCTACACCACTCTGTACAGAGTGAAAATACCTTCTGAGAACAACAGAATAAAAAGACATCTTACAGCACTCGATGGGTTCAGAAGCCACTTGGAGAGACACGAGCTGGCCTCCAGGTTGGGGAACATGTACACGAAACACCAACCGCACACGAGTGTTCTTCCGCCCAATGTCCGTCTCGCCATTCCTTAGTTCGATGTCTGCGTTTCTCAGCTTCAAGATCCCGACACAGTCAATCCTGTGAAACAAAACAGAAGACGGATCAGACCGCATCCAATTTTTCCTCAAGATTTACAGCACATTCAACCAGCTGTGTTGTTTAACATTATCTTCCTTCCTATGGAGGTTTTGTAGTTTTACATCCTTTTTATGTCTAATTCTATTTGTTTCTCTTGTCTGATGACTAGTGCTTTACAAATAGTCCATACGGACAAACTTTAAGTAACCTTGACATTGGATGGTTTAGCTAAAAACTCTTGCTGCCAGTTTTTAAAAGACTAATCAAACATTTTTATTGCTGCACATATTCAAAAACCTGATCGGTGTTTCTTGGAAAATGCCTCTGGCACACAGGAAGTGATGCATTTCACGTTTCCGCTGCCAAGCAATGACAATTTGTTGCGAGTAAAAACAGGGTAAAAACCTTGCCGCCTTCACAAAGTAGTCATGACTTTCACGACTGGGAAAAGAGCAAAATCAGAAGCAAGTCGCAGCCCTGAAACTCATGTCACTGTATCTCTGCATCTGCAAAAAGCAGCGCTGTGGTGTCTGCAGAGTGCTTCAGAACAATGAGGTCACAGGCCAATGACTTGTGAAATGCTACCAACCATTTGGAGTCTTTTAGGGCTTATATGGGACTTTCTCGCTTAAATGCCTTTTCTCTGTTTGACTTACACTGCTCTCATGTGGTTTTTGGGCTCCAAGGGGATCTCCAACACCTTGGTCCCACTGATGACCGTCTCCATGCTGGGCGTGGTGACGGTCTTCCCGGTGATGCGGTGGACCTGGTAGAAGGAGTGAGGTTTCAGGAGCTTCTCGTCCGCCGTTCCGATGAAGACCTGCAGCCCCAGCGCGGCCGTGCCTTGGTACCCGCAGAGCTGGTGAACGCAAGCGTGCGCATGTGGTTAATTGCAATTCCGCCAAAACAACACGCTCCTGAACACAACTTCGAAACGCGCACTAAATCTCTTTTCTTAGCGGCGATGATTTGTCAGATTGTTATCTTATTGGTAAAGCTAGATCAGTGCTTTGCGTGGTGTTTTTGTGAAACATGGCCAGGAAAATCAACAGTGGGACGTTTTTTCTCGACTCAGTGGAGCAGTAAATAAAGCGGACAAAGAGTCAACACTTGTTTTGGCTGACGACATCTGTAGCTGGGAGCGAATTCACACCAGCAGATTGGAACAATGCGCGGCTTAATTATTACCAACGGGGGAGAAGGGGGGTGTTGATGGTGGCGATACGGTCTTCATTTGCATTTGCTAGCTTTACATGGACGAGACTACCCGGAAATACCACTGCACAGTCACAGGCGCATACTCCCTTTTTCTTTGTGTCTGTTTGTAAGATGTGAAGAGAGATCTCTCTTTCAATGTCTTCCCTTTGTTGTGTTGGTGCATGAATCCACATATACCTGAACCTCAGGATGGCCCCCGTTAGGTGTTTTCACAGCTCCCCGGCTGCCCTCGGTCTCATAGTGAGCTCTGTGGTGTGGTCTGGGCTGCTGCTGGATCAGGAGCTTGTACTGGCCTGACTGACCGTGCAATGGCCACTCTAAGGAGGGAAGTGGAGTGACACCCAGACCACTGGGGAACGACAGAAAAAGAAGGTAAGTACAACCATAAAACAAACAGACCATGGATTCCAATGTCGCAAGGCACCTGAACGCCGGCCTTGCAGCTTGATGGACTGATTGGGTTGAAGGCCACACGGCTGGGAGCATGTAGATGGTCTCGGATTTGACCTCAGCTCCGGCCCTGCCCACCCTCTCCTGGTTACCGCTCCAGTCGTAGCCCTCTCCGTATGCACAGTCCGGCCTTACGGCTGGCACGTGAGGACCTCTCATCACCGCGGGCACCGGTCTGGGCAGACTGGAGCCGAGGCTGTTCAGCACCTCCTCCAGGCCCGGCGCCGGCGGCGGCGGCTGGGCTCTGGGCTGGAACTCGGCCTGGCTCTGGTGGTACTGGTGCACGTAGTACTGCCTCTGCTGCTCGTGCGGCGACGGGATGGGGCTGGGGCTGCGGGAGCGCTGCTTGACCGGGGTGCCCCCGTGACAGGAGTGGGCCGGGTCGAAGGAGCGCTTTCCCTGCGGCGAGGTGGAGCGGGAGCGCTGGTGGGGGAGCGGGGAGGGGGAGCACTGGGGGTGCGGCTGGAGGAAAGTCTCGTCCGTCACGCTGTTCTGAGGCGAGGCTCCGGGGGAGGAGCTCGCCGAGAACGTGTGGATGCTCTGCAGGCCGGGGCAGAGGTCCAGGGCGGGCATCGAGACACCATAGCCGTTGGGAGGAGAGACGCATGGCGAGTTCTGGGGGGAGTACCCCTCCGCCTGCCATCCCGTGGAGGAGTTACTGCTGGCGGGGCTGACGCAGTCCCTGTAGGCGCCCAGAGCTTTGGAGCCGGGACTCAGCTCGTGGTTCTGGGAGCTCAGAGAGTCGCCCGACGGAGTGATCTCAATCCTGGGGCTGGGGGCAGGCATGTGGCCCGTCTTTGACGTCAGCCCGAGGGAGTCAAACACGGCCTCAGCCAGGCTTTCTGAGCCGGGGCCGTGAGAGGAGGGGCTCAGGCTGGAGGTGGGCTGGGCGGAGACAGAGATGTACTCGGCAGGGTGGTCAACCACCAGCAGAGGAGGCTGACTTTCACTCTGAGCAAGGGCTCCCGGATCATCTGTCAGGAACCAAAGAACAGATTAGTTTAAGACAAGACAACACTTCCCCCTCAATCAAATGCATAGATGTACTTATCTATTTGTTTGTTTACTTCCTTCCTTCCTTCCTTCTTTTTTTTTTTTTTTTTTTTACAGTTTATTCACTTCTCTTTCACTGAAGAGTCTAAAATCAATGAAAATGTCAATTTTGTTCCCCCACATTTCTAAATCTTGCTTGTTCAAGTCACATAGATGATGCCATGTGATGGCAAATATTCCAGGTCATATACACATCATAAATATATATATTTTTTAAGCAAGCAGTGAGAAATTAAACTTTCTGACCAAATGTCATACACAGTGTACACAGCATGCAACGCTCATTTTCTTTAGAGTCGTTTCTTGCTCCTGTTAATAACCATTTCACTGAGATTCAAACACACCAGCACATACCTGAAACTCATTTCTTAAAGATAAAAATCTTTGCGCGCTGTCTGGAATAAAAGGTCAGCGACCAGAACTGAAAACATACCCAAAAGAAACACTTTTTTTTTTAACGTACCTTTAATGCAATCAGCAGCAAAATCATCTCCTGGCTGATTGTATAGAAACAGGTCGGAAAAGTCCAGTTCCTCCTGGCTAATGTCTCGCCCCAGGCCCTCGGTAAGTCCCAAACCTCCAGAAGTCATGTCCAGCTCGGTTTGATGCGTCGACGTTGCCTCGACAGGTGTTCCTTATTTCTCTCTTTCTTTTTGTTGTTGTTGTTGTTTTGAAGCTGTCAAACTCGCAAACTTTGCCCGATTAGGTTGTGAGCATGAGCAAAGTGAAATAAAATTCTGCAACAGCGCTGTAAGGTCCGCTTAAAATGATGGCAGCTGCTGAAATAAGGCATCGGGCGAAGCGGCGAGGAAAGAACGAGCGCTTCCTGTGAGCGCTGCTGATGACAAGCAGACAGGAGGCACGGACCCGCGCGCGTGCGTGTGCGTGCACGTGTGCGGGGCCCGCGCGCACAAACAGACCTCATCTCTTCCTGTGCGCTCACTTGGCTGATCGATGTATGATATAAAAGGAAATTGGCCCCGGTTCGAAAAAAACAAAAGATTATTTTGGTTGATTATACATTTACAAAGCTTTTAAACGGGTAGGCTATATGGTAAAACGATGATTTTGCAGTTTGACAAAGGGGCAAAGTGTGTTGATTTTTTTTTACAGTTACGCCGTAAATGCTAGATTACGACATTACTGCGCGCACACTCTGTTATTATTGAGGTTGTTTTTACTTGAATATGGATTTACGTTGAAAGCCATATCAGATCAACATGAATGGTTGTCTATGTAAAGTTGTGCCTGTTCCAAAGGTCACAAAAACGCCGAACACTAAACATCTGCTGCGTTCATACACATTCAAAAACACTTACACATTCATGAGTACAGATCGTGTCCACTTGGGGGCAGTATTGCACAACTCGTCTGCAGATGCTTTCGATTCAAAGGGTCAGTTCAGCCAAATATTCATAAAAAAACAATCACAAAAAAAACTATATTTTCTGGATAAATCTGGCTGAACTCAGGCATAAAAAATGTAAGACCTGTGTTTTTGAGACATTTGCCCCTATTCTTTTTTACACAGCATATGGCTATTGTAAGTTCGATAAAGTGAGTTGATCTTTTATTGATATTTTAAAAGATTTCCACAGGTTCCTACAGAAGCGTAAGGAAGAGCACTGCATTCCCTGGAAAGACATTTTATGCTTTATATCGTAATTACGAGATCAGGATGTCGTATTTACACTAGATTACGTTTATTTACGACTGTGGCATTGTTATGTTTTGTCATGTGACGCCGTTACCGTGGCAACAGAAAAGTTTACATGGCTGACATGATTGATATCTTGTAATTGTTGTTATGCTAGCATGTCGGAGAAGATCTCATAATTACGAGATATTTTTTCTTAATTACGAAAAACTTATTTCTCATAATTACCAGATAAGATGTCTTTTTATTTATTTTTCAGTGACTGTAGATACCCATTGGATGTTGGACATATCTGTGGTTTGTAGGTGGGGCATTGTTGTTGTAAACAAGTGACTGTGGGTACTGTTCCTCTAAAGGGCCTTTGGGATTTCACTTAGTGCTGCTTTGTTAAGCAGGGACTGGCTTCCAGTAAAAGTTGTACTTGTTGTGGTACGTGACAAACTTCAGTAGAAACACATTCTGAAGAGCTGCTTTGTTTGTTTTTCATTAGGTACTCCTTATGATAAAACTTCCCAACAGCCAAATGAAATTGAAGCCAGAAAACTTGACTGTTTATGCAGAAATGTGTTAGTTCTGCTCCATGGAAGACTCTGTAGTGACAATGAAGTGCCCACATATATGAAGTTTTAAAAAAAACTTTTGGAACAGCCTTTCGCTGACAGTTTCAATCTGAAAAGTATCATGACGTTGGTTTGTATTCGAACATTATTCAGTTAAAGTCCAGGCGTATTTAACTCACCCCATAAGCACTAAAGCCTGGAAAAGCAAATTATGCTTCAGACTGGGTGTTTTTTTTTTAGAAAACTGCAATAAATACACAGTTTTAGTAAGGAGGATTATCCCCTCTAACCAAATCTAAATGATCCTTCGACATTTGTTAAGCTGTCCGTGTCAGTGGTACGGACCTGTACATTTTGTCCCACAATGCTAAACTTTTACATGTTTACCAGACGCTTTTATCCACAGAAACCTATGGATCAGGTCATAGATACATTTAGACAGCTTGGGATTTAGTGGCTTGCCCTAGAACACTTTGACATGCAGCCCAGAAATGAACCACTGACCTATTCATTGGTAGGTTTTCTTTGAGCTATAATCTATCTCTGCTATGGCTGAAATGTTTATTATATTTGTTGAATGATGTTTGTTCTTGATTGTTTTCTTACAACATTAATTCATCAAACATTTTTACTTTAAAAAAATGTTTGTCCAGATGAACCAAAACCTTATTTCTATTTAAAATGTCTTTCTTTTAGAGACTTTATTTAAAGATTGTGACTTATATCCGTTCTGAATAATGGAAATAACATTTATGTGCTATTTCCCCCAATGCCTACAGGCCCAGGATACCAAGTTTTTTTAGAATAATCACTAACCTTGAAACTCTTACTTATAATTGAGTGTGATGTGAGATGTATCTTCTGCTAGTTAGGGAGACAATTTGAAATATTCTCCCTAAATCGCAGAGTAATAATGAGTTTGTATTACGTAGATGATCTAAGCAAACTGCAGTGAAGCTCAAACATCTGCTGATAACTGTAACAATGACTTATAATTAATCCTCAGAATTTACAATTTCTTATTGGTTTGTTGTTCATTTTGCATAATGTGCCCTTGTATAAAATACTTTATCAGCAAGTACATTTTGTGTCCTATTTCAGATATTTCTGCTCTGGGCAGCTGCCTGTCTTGGCTAAGACCCTTACTACTACTACTACTACTACCACTCTGACTAATCTGCGACCAATTACAGGATGAATCAGAGCAGACGGGGGCTTTCAGAAAAGGGACTTAAAGAGACAGGAGCCTAGAGGGAGAAGTAGTTATTGCACATTAAAAAAAAAATTAAAAAAATTATTATTAAATGTGCACAAAAGGTGTCTGAACACTATTTTTGGAACGCCAACAGATTTATTAAATACTGTCAAACAACATGTGACCTTTCATGACGTAAATGTTTCACTGGCCTCAGCTCTTCCATACCGCAAAGATCAAGGACTTGACTCTCACGAGTCCACGTTTTAGCCACTTCTTGTTCACATGTTGAAAAATACCAGTGTCACATGTGAGTATTTACTGCACGTCACAAGGGATCCAAGTGTGTCAAAGTGGTTCTATCAGTCATCGGGGGAACTGATGGGGAACCACAATGGGGGAGATTTTTGTGTCCAACATCTGCAGCACATTGTCTTCAAAGGCCTCTTCCTGCATGTCAGACTTGACCGCGGTAGTTGGAGCTCTCAGATATTTTCCTTAAGTTATGAGTATAACAGTTATATACATTAAAAGAGAACATTTGCTGATATGATTCTCTGCATAAGTTGGCTGTCGTGTAACTACTTGAAACATATTTGTGAAATATGAATAATGTTTTGCTACGTAATAGATAATAAAAGATAAAACGCAGGTGAGAAGTCAGAAGGGGAAAAGTGTCATCAATCTTTGGGAAAACTGCTTTAAAAACTTTCTGTTTGGGGCCTTATGCTTGAGGACATTGCAGAAAAAGAAAAGTTAATGTCTTGAACAGTACACTGCTTTCACAGTACAGCGCTAAATCCACAGTGTTTTCAAATCAGCCCTGAAATTACTAAAAAAATATAAACAAAATTCTGCATTGAAGGTAGTAGATGTCTCTGTAACCTCGCTTGAACCTCAGATGTGGCTTTGGGTCGGGGCATTTGCGTTTTTTCATCTTTTAATTCTTCAAAATATCTAAGTGGATAAACGCTCAAATCCAGGGCTTATCGGCACTCACTTTGACTCTTTGTTTCTTTTTCTCATTTCGTTCCTCATTATTTTGGTCGGCAGTACTTTTCATTTCAAATTATAGAGACGTGACGCTTAATCTCATGACCTCATAACTCCCTGTCTTAACACAAGGCCCCCTGTTAACTTCAGGATACAGTAACAGCAGACTATATTGTGTAACCTGATTTTAAGATTTTGGGCTTAAGTTAGCACAGTTAGAACTGTGACCGAGTATGAACTGAGGGTAACAGTTTAGATAAGGTTTGACATGAGGTGGCATTCACTGTAACTTTTCTGGATTGGAAATGTTTGCGGTGTATAGACCCTAAAATTGGTGTGCCATTGCTGCACACCAAACATGTGTAAGGGATTTTGTTAGGCATTCGAAAGCATTGGCAGTCACCCCAAGGACCTCACACAGCCTTATAATACCCAAATTAAATAATATAATGATACAATGATCAAGATTACAGCCCTCTGGCCAGTAGTTAGAACAGTCTTCTGCTAAATCAAGTGTTGAGAGATTAATCCCCTCAAGGGTTAGTTGAGGTTAAAACCTAAAAAGTTTTGAATCCACGGCAAAATCTTAGCGTCTTTTCGTGTTTATGATATTTAACAATTGCTATCCACAACTGTCCGCATACTGTTGGCTGTCTCGATGAGGTCCAATCATCACTGAAGTGACAAAAACAAAAGTACAGCAGCACTGAGGGGTTGTTATTTTCACATGATTAGAGGAAATGATTGGGGTGTAGACAAAAGACTCCTTGATGAAGAAATTACTGTAGAAAAACAAACACAGTGGATTCATGAACTGCTGGTTTATGAAGCTTCAGTGACCACTGAGGGGGAAAGATGTGACCACAAAGCTGTTTTTACTATACTGATGATGGGATGTCATTTGTTTGCTTGTTCTTATTTCATTTGCACAGTTCAGCAAGTCTTCACCCCGATGCCACAACAAGCACTAAAGATCACCTCCTACAATGATAAAGGAAAGTGGTTTTTGCCTTGTCTCTTTTTGGATCAAATATCAGATGTTGTTGTCTTTGGGGAATTTATTCATATATGTAAATAATATACATGTTGGAATGAAAAAAAGCAACAACTACAGGATGAAAAGCAATGAAAATGAGCAAAGTAATTGCATTTGTGTGCTCAGTGTCAAACAAGGCCTTGCAGTAATTATTTTGTCTGTGATAGGTCCAGATCAACTAACATCTAAGCCGATTTAGTCTGAGGGGTTAGAAAAATATCAGGATTCTTTTGTGGCTAGCCAGTCCTCCACACTATGGGTCACACTTGCATGCTTATGTAATGCTTATGTGTATTTGGTCCATAATGAAGAACTTTATGATTGAGCCCAATGACATGAATAAAAAAAATATTATTACTTGCTGATATTTCACTGAAAGAAGAATGACCATATAAATAAAGCCAAATTACCCCTTTCACTTATAAATGTGTGGATACATTAAAATTCCTCCTTCTTAATTTTTCAAGACATACAAATATATTCATAATAAATATGTTTGTTTAAAAATAGAAATAAATAACTGCACATATCCATGATTTTGTTAATCAATTTATTTAAGTGAATAAAATATTTTTCTGCATAAAACAATATACATTAATACAATACAATTGTAAATGTACTTTATATACACATTGAAAAATACACAAATGCAGTATTTACACGAGTTCATACAGGAGAAACAGTATAAAGTTATAGCTCATTGTCTACATCCTACATATTTGAGATTGAAGATTTGAAGACAGCTGCCTCAGTACAATGTTCCATTTGTACACAACTGGTGTTTTGGTCAGTTATCAACAGTTATACATGTTAGTTTTAAATAACTTTGAGGTATTCATGGTAAAATTACAAGCATTCTCTTTTTATGTACAGAGCAGCAATACAGGGAGTCACTGGACCATCAGGAGCATGGAAAAAGAGATTTCATCTTTCCATCATTATGTTCACAGGAGTTGAACATGATCCTTGGGAATGGAAAAAAAAGACACAATAATTAATCAAGCTCAAAGTCTTTCTGTTCCTCTGACACTGGCTAAAAATATTAATAATAGTAAATTAAAGACCTTTGGGGACACTAGTCTGCCAAAGAGGAACTTACACATTAATGCTAGTGTATCTTAGAATTAATATTAATATGGGATTTTTTGCTGTTTAAAATCTACCTTTACTGTTTAAAAACACCTAATGTGTTATTTTAAATTAATCCAGAATGGAAAGATTCACAATGAAATACCTGTGTTTACTGTGTCTGACTTTTTGAGATTGAACTATTTTTTCTATTAAAATTTTTACATTTGGACACGGGTATTAAGCTTAGTTTAAAGCCCGATATATAAAACCAACCAGCAGTCTATTCAGAGTCAAATTTAGCAAATGCTAGTGCACAGACTTTTTGGATCCTTGATTTTAGTATCTGAGTGAAACTGATGCTCTTTTAGCTGGAGCTAGACATCTAGTGGTGAAAAGTGGTATTGCACTAAAGAATATGCATCTCTGACTTCTTGTTTTAGAACTAGCAGCTTTGTTCATGATTTACAGCTTGAAAGCTAATAAGCAGTATGTCACCCTAAAAACAGCAAAATTTACACTTTTTTAAAATCAAATATGTGCGCTCAAGCAGCTTGTGAGGCGGTCGGGCTGTCCTAAAAAACTCTAGTCCATATGAATAAATTGTCTTTAGAGGCTTCATGCAACCTGTAAAGTTTCTGGAAACATTTCTTTTCTTACCTCATCTCTTGACAAAGGCAACTGGCAGTTCTCTATTGGGAACCAAAAGCCCTGAATGAATCACTTCGAGCGGCTCATCATCTGTTGGCACGATCTCATAGTCTCGGATCAACTGTAATAAAAGGAAGACAGCATTCAGTTTCGGCAGTCGCTTTTGAGCCCGCCCTCTGACGCCCGTTCAGCGCGACCGATGTTGGATCGTACCCAGCACATGGCCAGCTGCAGCTGCAGCTCGGCCAGCCTGCGGCCGATGCACATCCTCTTCCCGATCCCAAAGGGCACGTAGGCGAATGGGTTGATGGTGCTGCTCTTCCTCAGCCAGCGCTCAGGCTTGAACTGCTTGCCGTCATCAAAGTACTCTTCACTGGAGCTCAGCGCGTGGCTGTTGATCATCAACACGGTCTGCACGTGGAGATAAAAAAAGCAAAACCATTATTCATTTGTTCCAGTCGAAGTTCTCTCCCAGTTTCTGTATCTCATGAGGCTATAGTCCAGCCAGGGCCCAGTGGCTCATGCTATTAGAGTTGCCGCGTGCAGATTTTGTACAGTGAGTGAGCAGGAATTTGAAGCACGTTTCAACAGTCAAATGTAAATTTACACAAGAATATAATCCTCATATCAGGTGTACTAAGAAGTAAGCCCCTTACCCCTTTGGGAATGGCATAATCTCCCAACACAGTGTCTTTGTCCAGGGTCCTGCCGGTGAATGGGATTGACGGTGACAATCTGTAAGAATTCCAGAATCACACATGAGGAATACGAACTCGTGAAGCATGACAAATGTCTAAGCTGTTTAACAGGAGGCAGACAAGCGCAGTGCTAGATGAGGTGAGATATAAGCTCCAGTCAGAGGTCACTTACATTCCCTGTGAGTACAGGGCTTGCCTTAAATAACATGTTTGACAACTCCCGTGACTCCATAAGAGTAAGGGCAAGGAAACCTTTAGAACATGTCTGAATGGTAGATCTTAATCTGGGATCATTGGTTTTTGGTAGTCATGCCACCATATCGCATGAAACTTGTTTTTGAACATATACAGTCATGTGTGTGAGTTTTCCCTCTTAATCTAAAAAGTACTGCTGGGAATCCTGATGCCGCCTGTGGGCTTGCTTTGAAGCCACTGACTGCTTTTAAAAGTCTACATGACATGTAAGGCTAACAATTCAAAGTTTCAAATCGATTGCGTTACATGGAGACATCGGAAAGCACTTGGCTGGAAGACTTGTTTTTCTGTGTAATTGTTAATTCCTTATCATAAGACTAATTTTCCATTATTCTTTTTGGTAAACAGAGATTCTTATATCTTTCCAGGAAGCTATAAATGTGTAATCTGTGTCAATATGTCAAAGGCAACCCGCAAAGAGCATTAAAGTGTGAACAATTCTATTCACTTAGATCTTCTATTATCTGGACCACACATGGACATTCTACTCTTGCACATGATGCACCATGGTATTGATGTACTGTACCTCAAAGACTCCTTAAGGCAGGCCTTGAGGTAGGGCATGCTCTTTATGTGCTCCCCACAGGGGTCCTGGTCGGGAGGCACCACGTCTCTGATCTCCTGCAGCAGCTTCTTCTGAGCCCTGGGGCTACGTGACAGGTTGAAAATAAACCACAGCATGCTGTTGGCCGTCTGTATGCATAGTGGGAGGAAAAAAAACACGGAGGAAGAAAGAAACGAGATGCGAGTTAGTGAGGCGGCTACTCTGAAGGCATTCTTCAGTGCAGTTGAATAATGACTGAGGTTCCTCAAAGGCTCTTTAGTTACACACACACCACGCCATTCATTTCCTGCTTTGAATGCACTGTCACTGCAACAGTTTGTTCCATTTCCTCAGTTTAGCATGGAGGTATGAATTGAATTAGACAGTTAGCCTTTTTTAAGTAAAGCCAAATTAAAATATTTTTGGGATTTTGCAGGGACTAAAAAAAGAAAATATTAAAAAGCTATGTTTACACATTTAGGTAGTTTAGTTATTTTCAATTCCTTGCTTTTGAAGAAGTCTGTTAAGGTTTTTATTCTTAACTGAATTATGGTAACGCTATGCTTAAAAGTTGCCAACAAGGTTTTTGAGAACGCTATTAGGACATTACCAGCATTTTATTGTCTTTTATGCTCCCATTCTAATCTACAAACTAAAAAGCAGAGGCATGATTCTGATGCCAGATCTCATGTTTGGCCGTTATCATTGGTCACATCTGGCACAGTAAAGAGGATTTTAAAAAAGTAAAAATGTCCACTCACCGTCTCAACTCCTCCAATCTGCAACTCGGTGATGGCTGCATAGAGCTCCTTTTTGGAGAGACGACTCTGGTGTAAGATGTCCCCTATCAAGTCATCTGGGGCTCTGCTGGCATTCCCTTTCAGCTTTTTGTCGATGTAGACTTTTGCTGTGAGAAAACAGAGCAGTCCCCATGTGAGAATATGCATGTTATAGGCAATGTTTGCACATATCTTCATCAACAATACATTCCTTGTAAGGTTTTTCAATCACCTTTGGACATTAGAGTTCTTTCCATAATGTTTATTGTGATGGTTTAATCAGGCGGTCGTTGCGGAGATTTATGAAAAGCCGTCTTCTTTTTTGACTTTACATCACTGTAAGACTTTATATATGTAAGATATGTACATTTTTTTTTAGGTTGAACAATATTCTAAGCCTTTATGTTGTGGCCTGGGAATAAATATGAAAGAAGATGTTATTTTGAAGATGTACAAGATTTATATCAGCTCCTCTGTCTTAGGTGAAACGAGTGCACTAGACTGTACACAACTACAGATTCATGTGCAAAATAGTTGTTTTTTAAAATGAATTTGTAGGCTTGTCCCTTTTGACCTCCATGTGATTTGTTATACTGTTAGACACTGGTGTGTCATTAACTGCCTTAACGATTAAAGCTTAAATGATTTCTTTGTGTGCTTCTGTATTGGAAGATTTGCCAGTTGAGTCTAGAAAGTGTGTGTGCTCGTACACTAGTGAGAGATTGTAATCTGCATTCTCCTCCCCCTGACTCTGTCTGCTCCAACAAATATTTGCATATTTCTGCACCTCCGGTCACGGAGTGTACTACAACTCTGCACCATCATTTACCCCCAGTGCCAAGTACACAAAACACAGAGAATGCCACTTACGGTCAGACCTCTCACCACTCTCCACTGTATTTTGCTATCTTTCGTTTGACTGGAAATGAACTTAAACTGATGTGTGAGTCAAAGAGACGTGGAGATATAATGTTTTAGAGCTTCGTAAAAGCTCTGAAAGAGCAGGCCGTTCGTAGAATTTTGTGTTGGATCTTAAAGTTCTGTTTTGTGTTCATACCTGTGCTGAAAATGCTGTCCCATGCCGCGGTGTGGTCCTGCCACGTTTTGGTGTTAAGGCTCTTGTGGAGCTCCACCGGTGTGACCATCATCATGCCAAATGTGCTCATCATCTAAAGAGAGGACAGAGAAAAGTCTCCTCTGCTTATCGTTTCAACAGCTTGTCCTGTGAGAGCTCTAAGAGCCGCTGCTTATCACCTCTTGACTTTGGATGCTATTGGTTTGCCCCAGTAATTCTCAGTAAATAGAACAAAAGTGCTCAGTCACACATTGAATGGGTGCACTGGCCGCGGTTCAGCTGACGTGAACCCGATGAACTGATTCTAAACTCTCCAGGAGAAAGTCAGCTTTGGCTTCTCCTCAGAGAAGAGCATTACTTACCGTCTTCACAGCTGTGATGAAATTCATGGCTTCCTCATTGACCTCCTCTTGTAGCAGACCAAATCTTTTATCGTAGAGGACAAGACAAATGGCTGAAAGAAAATAAAAGAGCATTCAACACATCAACTCAGGACTATTACCAAACTTTGATCGGTACATTTAATACCAAACAGTTATTGATTTCAAGTTTCATGTTAAGATCGCAAGAAGGTCAGTAGAAATGAGAAGAGTAAGAACAGAATGACTCAGGCTTGGTATTTCAACCACAAAATGCTTAACATTCACTGTAGTTGAATCTATTTCAGCTTTTCAACTGCACTTTCTGGCTTAAAACATCTGAAAATGAGCTAACAATAATGAAAAAACAGACAGCTTCTGATGAATAAAGGAGAAACCAACTTACTCTCAAACGACCATTTGTTCAGCTCGAAGTATAAGTCCTCAATCTTCCCGTTGTGGTTAATGTGTCCGATTCTGTCAATGAAGTCCACCATAACCTATTTTCACAAACAGAGGGTTTCAGACAATGAATGAATGATCGCATGGGCTTCGAAAACCGGTCAAATATAGCTCTGATCACGTTTTAGACGCTCACTTGATTTATTTTCCCGTCGAGTTTCACCACCTCTGTCGGCTTCATGAGCTTGTGCTGAAACGCGCTCCTCACCCTCTGCCAGTCTTCTCCCTCTCTGCCAACAGACGACAGCGAGTTCCCCCAAAGTTTAGTACATGCATTGCCCTGGTTATTTGAAGTTGGCTTGAGCGATGGATCGAAAGCCCGTACTCACAGAATGAGGAGTCCGTACGCCTCGTTTCTCATGTCTCTGTATGCTTTCCAGGGTTTGATGTCCAGCCTTTGAGGGTAACTTCCCTCCTTCCGATAGAGCGCCTCCAGCAAGCAAGGTGCGCCAATGTGCACTGACTCAAAAGAGCCGAGCTTCATCCGGAAGATCTTGCCAAATTGTTTGTGGTAATCAATCTAAAAGTGAATGAATAGTCATCAGACTTAAAAGTATCTGACTCGCCATACAACGCGTTCTGTATATTTGCTGTTTATTATTAAGATGACGTATTATTATTTTATTTTTTTGTGCGTAAAATAAAAGTTTGTAAAATACTGTACCAGTGCCTCATGTTGTCTGGTCAGTCCTCCTTTTCGCAGGAGCTGGAAAAGACTCCCGACCAGGGGCCAGTTGGTGGGTCCAGGAATCGCGTCCAAACTTTGCGCTTTAGTGGCAGCGTAAGGGCACTGCGCAGCCTCCACAGCATCCTTCTCCTCCAAGACGCACACTGAGGATGTTGGCTTGAAGTGCTGCAGCCCCACAGACTTCTTCCTCAGCAACTCAACAATCTGAGGCACCTTTTGGATCTGCGCCCTCATCCTAAAACTCTATGTCTCAGTCTGAAGTAACAATCTATGGTTTCACCGCAACACCTCCCTTATCAGGCTCTGTAAGAAAGGGTCTCTTGTTTCTTGGAAGTGTCAAACCTTACTGCAATATATATACCCTGAGAGTGTTTATTCCTGCGGTGCATCGAGCCAATCAGGGACAGGTCCAGCATGGTGTGGCCGTCGAGCCCACCATTCATATATAGATCCACGTTGAGAGGATCGTATGACCTCAGATAGACCGTGGAATTACCCTCACCCCTCCTTTGCTTTATAAATAAACACAACAGCAGAGGTGATGCGCAGTGAACGAACCGCGTTACACTGCGACCCGTGATTGGAAGAGCCGAAACTCTGGCCAAGCAAATACTACCACACTTCTGCACCGGGCAAATATTTGAGCGAGTGCTGCTTGTGTGTTTGCTTTGATTGTGTTTTTCCTCTTGGAGGATACAAGAAAGGGGTGCGTATGAAGTTATAGCCTATAAAAATATTAAATCTAAAGATAACGATGTATAGACCCAACATATCTTAAGGAATTACTCCCTGAACATTGAAGTCCCTGAGCTGAAAATATGATCTACAACCTTTACTACTATTCAGATACTCTCAGATGCTAGAAATAAAATGAACTGACATTCCATCAATACGTGCTTTTACAACTTTATGTTCAGAATCTCTATTTCTATATAGCTTTACCTCCATCTATAATGCTCTAATGTACACTTGGTTAACACAACTATCTTGTTGGGGTCTCAACCCTTAGCCTGTACCATCTAAATACCAGTTTGCCCAAACAGAAACCTTCATCTAACTAGAACTTTATCACTCCGTTATTTCTCCAACAACTCTTGGCCAATATTTCCTGGCCAGATGTCATTCCTATACAGAGGTGTAAAACTCCTGTTCTAAGAAAGATAGATGTACAAGGGGACTTACAGTAATGCGTATGTCAAACACACACATCGCCCCCTCAGAGCTGTACAGGGCCTCTGTGTTGTTACCCTGTAAAAGTGCTCATTCACAGACTCTCAGGTGGCATCAGAACAGCCTTGAACCCTCATGTTTTTCAGCATATTGAGTAAGTGAGCAAAAGCCTGTCCAGGTGTAGCTTACGCACATTAATCACCCCACACCCCCTCCCATAAAAAGAAAAAAAGAAAAAACACCACCCAAACATCTACAAGCACACAGTGTTCCCTCTCTCTCCTCCACGCTACTACCCACGATATGAGAAAGCTTTGGTAATTTGTATCCAGTGTCAGTTTCTGTTTTAGTCATGGACAAACCATATCCTCCCTTTCCCGTCAAAGGAGGACTTAAAAATGTTGGGAAATGCACTTTGATGAGAAGATCAATACCATAAAAACAACAGCCAGTTTGGGGAGCTTGGGGAAAGAGCTTCAATCTGCCCGAAAGGGCTGGGATATTTGCAGAGACATCTGTAAATCACTGAAACCCCTTTTACAATGGACACGAAAAACAAAACCAGCGTTGGGCTTGTCTGCGGAAACACTGCAGGATTCTGCAGGTACACGTATGAGCCCCGGCTCCAGATGTTAGAAATGAAATAGGACACCACACTGATGCAAATTTTCAAAACTTTTTTTTAGGGCAAGCAACCACATGCATTCCATGATGAAAGGCTTGTTGTCTCCATTGGAACTTGTGCGATTCGTTGTCACCTCAGCCACAAATTCAGCAGCTCAGACTCTGTCGACTCATTGAAGCTGTGCTTGAATATCAAGTGGTTGGCTTTCACTTGACACTCAAGTATGACATATATAAAGTGAGTGCCATAACAACTGGCCTTTAAAATGTTTACAAACCAACACTCATATCTACATTTAAAGTACCCCGCTGACAATGTTGTAAAATAACACAAAAAATTCACTATATTTACATTATTACATGTACGATATGTTTATATTATTTTTTCTGGTAAGAACTAAGTGCTAACTGGTGTTCAAGTTTTGAAAAAAGTATCCCTTGAAATATTTTGTCTAAGACAATTTGAGTGGGTGGTCAGAAACAGAAGTAAAAAATGTGTGGACAGGTCAATAGATATTAGTCAGTGAAACACTGATTGAACATACAAAGTATTTACAATGACTTGAAGCACATAAATTATCTAACTTAAGTGATAAGCTCATCAAACAACAGGGCCTTTTCCAAGACAAACTCATGTGTCTTCGTAACAATATTCAGTGATAGTTTCTTTTTCAAATTCCAAAATCCCCAAAAGTAATTTATCTTTCGTACTCTCAGAAAAGAAAGCACCTAATCGCACTTTTATAGGTCCAAAGACTCGTTTGCTGGGTTGGTCGTCTCAGTGGTCCCGCTGTTGTTACCTCGTAGTTCATACATTTTTAGGGACTTTGAAAGCACAACTTTTTTGCCTTGGGATCCTGTTATTAGGGTAAAGATTTTGTGTCCCCATTTTTCTGCCAGTTTATCAAAAGAAAAAGTCTCACAGTGTTCTGATATGTGCAGACACACTGAGTACTGGTAGTGCAACAGCTGGCAAAAGAGCAGCATGCAAGTCAAAGGGAAAACATGCTGTTTCTCATGATGTCCTCTGTAGGCAAACAGAACTACGCAACACCGTCCTCGATGACCTTGTGTTATACAAAAAACTGAAAGTTTTATTCAACTTTCTGATGTCGTATGAGTGTCTATGCCACTGATGGTTACTCTGAATTTGTTTATTTTCCGTCATAGGAAAAAAAAGTAGAATTCTGTGCATATTCTGAATTCCAAAAAAGTAGATTTTTCTGGTATGGCTGGTATCTTGAATTGAGTGAATTGATATGATTATTTAGGTATTTGGAGAGCAGACGTCATTGTTTTTGTGCAGTTTCTGGTCAAAGCGCAGCAGATGAAGGCACAGAGCAATAGAGAAGGATGACTTAATCACATGCATCACTTAAGAAGGTGCTTTTGTTCTAAACCTGGACCTTGGTCACAAGTACCAAGTCGGTGAAATGCATACTTGTGTATTGGTGGTGCAAGAGTCTTGGTCTGTAGTCACCATGTTTAGCCACCTAGAGTCTCAATAGTAAACGGCTTATCATATTGCACGTTACTTTGAGCAAACTCAGCTAAATCCATGTGTTTGTGCTGATGGGCACAAATCATTTTATGTGATTAGTTTTTAGCATAATAGCATCTAGCTGCATCTGAGTGTGATACTGGCTGTAGCTTCTGACTGTTTGCTTTCAGGCAAAGCAATCTTTGTCAGAATTAACAAGGATATTCATGCTCTTATATTTTCATTTCGTCATTTCATTCTTAGTTTAGGTGCACAGTTAAATCTATCCAAGTCGCAGCAACTCAGAGCTCCTCAGTTTGAGCTGTGATTATGTAAATAAAATTTGGTGTTTAAACTTAAAAAATTGTATCATTCCTGCATCTGTAAAGTCCTTTTGGGAGTCCTGCTGGTTAGTCTCATGAACTGGAATTTGACCAAAGTCTTTGTAGCGTTGGTACTGTCACTAATAGCTTCTTGCAACCTTGGCTTGCAATCCAGTAACCACTCAGCCCTTTGTTTTCAGATATCATAAGGTGAACAATAAGAGCTGGTCTTATCTTTCACACTGTGACATCAGTGAGGACTGTCGTCAGAAAATCAGCAGGGAGTGAGATTAGTGATGAGCTGAGATAGAAGATAGCTGTGCTTTTCATGCGACACTGCAGCCATCCGCATACAGGACAAGCAAACCCGATGACTCAAAGCCACTCATGTATACCCTGAGTGACAGGTCATTGAGTTCAGTGATTGGGTTTGAAGTGGAAACTTTTCTCTTTTTAGGGGTCCGGGCATACGCAGAGGAAAGTAAAACACAGTTACAGATGAACAAGATGTGCATTCACGTGAAAAAAGCACAAACAGGTTTTCATGTGCACAACACGAGACCACCGTGTTCTTGGAGGAATAAATCAGAGGCCATAGAGGAGGAGATTAGCTGGAATCCTTTGTGTGGATGTACAGTTACATCAGACTGAGTGGTCCTGTAATGCCACTGACCCAGAATGTGAGGCGGCCCCTTCCTCAAAGCTCTGCCTTACAATAAGATTGAAAATATTTACAACGGAGCAACAGTGTAGTAATTCAAGAAGAATTGCACCCAGAACTTCCTCTGCCCCCCCCCCCCCATGCAAACGTGTTTGTCCCTCTTTACATCCACTAGCTGTGAAGCAATAAAACTCTCACTAGATATGTCATAAAAGATGGTGCTCCCAGAATTAGATAACAATTTCTCCTGTCAACTCTCCACTCAAAACTTTTAAGCCATCTTGCATCATAGCTGATTTGTTTTTTTTCTATTCATGTTTCAGTTTTTTTTCTAACTGAGAGCGTTTGATCTTTTTTTTCTGTGTTTTTAATCTTAAAGTAGGTCATTTCTTTTTCAACTGCTAGGGCTGCTAAAAGAGTTCCACGAACTGGATGACCTCCTGTGGACTGAGGCTGCTGTGGCCTCCTGGCTGTATTCAGCCCTGAGAAGAGGAAGCCAAGCTCTAAATCTGGGTCGGGATTCCCTGCTTGGAGGAGACCCCGCTCCCTCCTCTCTGAAGTAAACAGTCTGGATGAATGGAAAGAGCCAGAGAGGAATAAAAAGCAGCAAGTGGGATTTGGTATTGAAGTAGCAATAGCCAAAACAATGTGTGGAGTTGAAAATGAGTTAGATTACTCAGTCTAAAATGCTGAGAAAGTCCGAATTTGTCTGACCTCGCTACAGCATCATTCATTTTAATGAGGAATTATGAGGGCAGAGGTGACTGCGGGGAGGCGCCGCTGGTGATGATGAGATGCAGGTCACTCAGAGAGTACAGATGAACCAAAAACAAAAAAACATAGATACTCTGCGTAAACAGATCACAAAAACAGGAAAGCATCTCTGACTCATCGTGACAGAGTTTCCATAATGAGAGGGTGGATGCTGCTGACTGTAAATAGAACACGAAGGGTAATCATTTACACCAATTTACACTTAAAATAATTCATTTAAAAAGTGAGAGGCCAATAGCATTTTGGGGTAAAAAAAAAGTTCAGATTTTCAGAAAAAAAAAGATGATAGATGTTCAGCAGAAAGACAATTAAAGAGGAAAATGCTTCTCAACATATATAAAATACACATAAATGCATGATTATAGAGTTTATGTTTATTTTTATGCATTCAGCAGACGCTTTTATCCAAAGCAACTTACAA